AAATGCCGATTACCATTTTACTGTCTGTCAAGATCTGAGAATGCGTCCATCCTTCTTTGGATGCCACCCTTGCTGCTTCCCAGACTGCAAGCAACTCCGTCTGTGTAGACTCCAAAGCCCCACATTGTCTTGCCACTTGCGTAACCCGCTCTCCTTTGTGGTTCCTTACTACTACCACATATCTTCCTTCCTTTCTCTGCGGCCAAAATGACCCATCCACCTCCATTAGCTTCATTCTCTCTCTAGCTCTCTGGTCCAGTACCTCACCATTTTGACCCTTCAACCAAGCTGAATCCCTTTCTCCATTTTTTTGTAATGTCCTACCCTCTCCCCTTACGTTATTATCAGCCTGTGGAGCTAGTAAACCCCTCTGTTCCCAGGCTTATTTCACACTGTGCCTCTTGAAGGATTCAATCTGGCGGCCAATTCTCTTCATCCCAAACTTTCCTGTTTCTTGCTATCCATATATTCCATAGGATGTATACTGAGAGGATCTTATCCTCTTCCGTCGGTGCTTCCTGTAACCATCGCCTCATCCATTGTTTGAAACCAGTCCCCCTTCCCATAGAAAAGTCAAAACCTAATGGTGACATTCGCCATACTGCATGTGCTCTCTTGCATTCCAACAACATATGTTCTAGAGACTCCTCTTGTTCCCCAAATATCGGGCAACTTGGTGATATTATTTGTCCCCTTTTCCACAATTCGGTAGCTGTTGGACATGCTCTTGCCGCCGCTCGCCACAGGAAAAACTTTATTTTCTGCGGGACTCTCAATCCCTATATTCCCTTCCAAAAATCTTCCTCTTCCCGACCCTCCTCCGTGTTGTGTGTAGAAGACACAGTTGCTAATCCTTCCTTTTCCACATCCATAGCCAAATGATAAGCCGACTTCACTGAGTATTTCCCAAATCGCTCCTTTCTCCAATACAGAACATGTGGCATTTCCCGATAATTCTCACTCACATGGATAGCCTGGATATTTTGAATAACCTCTCCTGGGTATACTGCCCTTAATAGTTGGGCGTTCCACTGGCCTGGGCCTTGAATAAAGTCTGCCACCCTCAGATTCGCCTCCCACCTCTGAATGTGTCTTCGTGCCATGGGGTTCTTCGCTCCCGGGATCCATTCCTGATATGCTTTCAAACTTTGGCCATTTCCCACCTTCCACTTTAACTCCCTTTTGACCAGATCCCTTTCCCACAAAATCCCTCTCCATCCCAGGAGGCATCCTGTTTTGCCTTAACGTCCCAGAAAGTCTCATTCCTACAGTATTTTGCCTTAAAAAATCTAGCAAATAGGGATCTTTTCTCCGTCTCAATCTTCCAGGTTAACTTTCCCAATAATGCTCGGTTCATCTCCATTGTCTTCCTCATTCCCAACCCTCCCCTCCACTTCGAGCGACATATCTTTTCCCATGATTTCCAATGAATACCTCTTCCCTCTATATCCCCCTTCCAAATGAACTTTGCTCGGCACCAGTATTTTTTTTTTTTTTTTTGCAGTTGAGCATGGTATTCTAAAAACTCCTAGCGTGTAGTTTGTCATCATACCTAACACGTGTTTGGCCACTACAACCCTGCCCTGTACCGACATATATAGATATGTTCCCAAAGCGGGATCTGTATTTGGACTTACCAATAGAGACGGCGTGGCAAAATTTATCCTGTCTTGCATATTTTATGAAGATGTTCAACACTCTGGCTAGCTCCATCGCTCCTCTGACTGAATTCTCCATAAAAATAACGCAGTCGTCTGCAAACATAAGATGCGATACCGTCGGCCCTTCCCTTGAAACTTTTACCCTTTTACCAAACTTCATAAATCTCTCCCCATTCAACAGAGCAGAAAGAACTTGTTGACACATGATAAACAGGAATGGAGATAAGGGCACCCCTGTCTCAGACCTTTGTTTGGCCTAAATTCCCCAGAAACCTCTCCTGAAAAGACATTGCCATGCTGACTGTTGACACACACTGTCTTATGCAACCCCTCAATTTAGCCATGAATCCCATCCGTTCCATCACGCTCTCCAAAAAAGCCCACGACACCCTATCATATGCTTTGCTCATATCCAACTTCAAAGCCATATAACTCTTATTCCCATCCTTCCTCTTCCTGATATGCTCTATTATCTCGTGGGCTATTAAGACATTTTCCGTGATCAAGCTTCCGGGTGCAAAAGCCACCTGGTTATCCGATATTAAACTGTTCACAACCCGTTTAAGCCTGTTCTCTAGAATCTTTGCCACTATCTTATATACCTCATTGCACAAACTGATTGGTATGAAGTCACTCGCTCTAATGGGTTTGGCCTTTTCGGTATTAATACTAACAAAGTTCTGTTCCAGTCTTCATCCATCACACCACTCAGAAAAAATTCTTTAATAGATGTGTCGACATCTCTTCTAATGATGTTCCAATATTCTTGATAGAAACCGGGTGGCATGCCATCTCTTCCTGGAGCCTTCTACTTTGCCATTGCAAATACCGCTTCCTTAATCTCCTCATCAGTTACATCTCTTTCCAAATACACTGCTTTCTCCGGCGTCAGCCTTCCCTCAATCATATCAAGAACTTGCTCAACTGTTACCGCATCCTCTACTTCCTGTACCTGGTCAGGTGAATTAACATACACTCCCGAAACATGCTCTAGCAATTGATTCCTTATTTCTTCCTGTGAAGTAGTCCATTCCCCATTACACGTTCGTAATTGTGTTACATCATTTCTTCCCTTCCTCCTGTAAACCCAATTATGGTAGAATTTCGTATTGGCCTCCCCCTCTACTACCCATTTAATTTTTGCCCTCTGTTTCTAATATTGTGTTTGCTCTTCCATTACGTGATCTAATCTTTTCCGCTCTTCTACCATAGCAATCTTCATGATATTTCTGACCATATAATCTGGGGCTCCTAGAGATTGATTGTGCCAATTTGTCAAATATCGCATCACCACTTGTAGTGACCCCGATAGCCATTGTGAAAACCTACGAGTATCCCTCATTTGCTGCCTCTCCTCTCAACAACGTCTAACAATTTTCTTTGCCGCATCATGCCTTGTCCAGAAGCTCTCAAACCGCCACTGTTTTCCAGTGCCGAAACTGTAAGAACAAAGGACCATGGTCCGATCTCATTATTGGTAGGTTTTCCAGCATCACATGGGGATATAGCTGACGCCACCTCCTATCTGCAAAAGCTCTATCTAATCTTTCCCTCACCTCTTCATTCCCTTGTCTACCATTTGACCAGGTAAACCACACCCCCTATTCCTCACCTCAACCAGCTCACGTCGGACTAACAATTCTCGGAACCATTCCCTGCCCCTCATATCCGAACCACGCCCACCACTTTTATCCTCATCTCTTAAGACCTGATTGAAATCCCCCATCAGTAACAGTGACCTATTGTTGTTTTGAATTTGTGCCTCAAGAGAATTCCACATTTCTTCCCTACCACTTAAAGACGGATGACCATACCCAAAAACCAAAAGCCATTCATTTCCATCCCGTCGAGTGATCATCACTATAACAAAATTTTGGGATTTTGCCACCACTTGGGGTATTATATTACCATCCCAAGCCACACAAATGCCTCTGCCTACATCAATCGGGTTAACAAGCTCCCAATTTGCAAAATGTGTAGTGCATAGCCACTTTATTACTTTATCACTTTTACACTTAGTTTCTAGTAAGACATATTATACTAGGTTTATACATAATATTGATTTTCTTTAAGAACTGAACTGTAGGGGATTGCCCTAGACCCCTACAATTCCAACAAAAAATACTCATGGCCGTTGTGGTGGCTGTGACAGCCACCGCAACCCCATCGTCAAGACCATTCAAATACTTCAGCACGATGTCCATTACCTTTGTCACAATCGTTGTAGCAATTATTGCGTCCTCCACTTCCTGAGTTTCACTGTCCGAGCTTTCGTCCGTTTCCCGTCCTAGGATCTTTCGCACCTCCTTCGATGTTAGTTGGGCATCAATTCTTCACCTCCTTACGTCATGCTTCTCCAATAACCAGCATAGGCGCCTCTTCCTCCTGATCACCCTTGACCCCGACTCGCCTACTGCTACATCAACCCCAATAGAAATTGCATCCCCACATCCCATACCCAAATCCCTCTCTCATGCATCTTCTAGTCCTCTCCCCAGCTCATCGTCCTCCTAAGTCTTTTCCTCTGACTCAAACCAGCATCAGGATCCTCTCTTCCCACCGTTGCCGGTGCTGATGCCCCTCTTCTTTTCCTCCCCTCCAGAGATCTATCCTGGTGAGTGTGTCCCCTCTTTTGTCTTGGTTGAAGTAGATCGCCACCATGCCCCTGCAACCTCCCTCTCATTTGCCTCAGTGTTGATCGTCTTTTCTGGCCTTGTGTCAATCCTTCAGCCGTTGTTTCTCCGTTGGCGGTTCATTGCAGTCCCTCCGTCGATGTCGAAACCGCTACTCCCCCCGTTGGGTCTTGGCACATGATTTCCTTAAACTTCCCTTTGACCTTCTTGGCCCATTTATCAAATAAACGCCCGTCCCTCTGCCTAACCACCTTTTTAAGCCCATCATCTCTTAGTAAATTGTCCCTCCTCTCTCCTCCCAGATGTGAACTTGGGCTACCAGTGTTGGGCCCAACAGTCGGCGTAGGGCCATAATTCATGGGCCAATCTCTAAAATCATCATAGTACCTTTCTTTGGACCGATTTTGGGCTTTCTTTTTTCCCTCCCTTAGGCCACTCTCTTTCTTCTTCTGATTCGTCTTCTAGCCCGTATCTCCTCTTCCTCCAGGCCCCTTTCCTGGGCCTTTGCCTCATCATCTGATGGGCCTGCCAAGCCCAAGTCCTCCTCTTCATCTAGATCCGGTCCAGTCATCATAATGACACCTTCTCTGATGACTGCTCCTCGTTCTCTTTGTACCAATGCTCCATGACTTTTCTGACCCATCAATTCATCTTCCAACTCTTTGGTCTTAGGCCATCGCCCCCACCCCCAATCTGTGGTCTTGGGTCATCTCCCCAGCCCAAAATTTTGAGCTAATTCCAGAAGCTCCTGAACGTCATCCTCTACGTCATCCCCTCCTCCTTCACCTTCCCCGCATTTATTGTCATTTATTTCCATTCCTGCTTCTGTCAATCTCTCAATCACGTCTACACCCTGTAAGCCGAAATTCTTCAATGGCTCCTTCACATCCATTCTGTAATTAATTTCCCCACGCAGAATTTTATTGGCCCTCGCCACCCCCTCTACCCCTCATAACTCTTTTCTTTAATGTTTCCGTCTTCATCCCTCATCTCCCAGTCACCGGTCGTGAAGAAATTCGGCTGCCACCACTGTGGTAACTCCGGCAGCGTTTGCGGGCACTTGAACTTCTCCTACGACGTTGGTCCCGGGCACGCTACTTGTTCTTGTACATACGTTCTCACACTGCGGGATGGTTCCTCCACGTCCTCCTCCCCATCCAATGGCAGAAAATCCGATGGTGATGGCGTTCTTGATGTGGTGACCTACTATCTCCGTCATCAACTTCATTATCCACTATAGCTTTACCCATTGGAATCAAAACCTTTTTCCAGAAGGGCGCGCAGGAATGAGTGACAGTTAAAACTCAACTGTCGTAAAAGTAAGTTATATCAGCAGTGAATTTCATGTATCTTTCAAAAATCTTTCTATTTCTATTACTTTTTTTTTTCTCAAAAAAAAATGAAGATTATTATCAAACTTTTGTTGTTATTGTTGGATCGTGGCTGCCACTTAGATTGGACGTATCGGTAGATTTGTAATTCTCTACTATCTGTATTTTTTTAACAATATTGTAATCACTTTTAATCCAGAATTCAGTTGATTAATTGTAATTGGTTGATTTTTTAACTATATTTTTTCATAATTTTTTAATTAATAACTGTGTTATCTTATATATATATTTTACTTTTTTAATAAAAAAATTTAAAGACAAACACTAAAAAAAATCCAAACATACATACAATGTTCAAGATTTTTTATTTTTTTCAGAATGTTTTCAGATTCTGCTCGAATTTCTTTCTTTCTCCATCACATTTTTCCTTGATGTATTTGACATTCATTATTCCCCAAATAAAAAAAATAGGTTCCAACTTTTACTGCAAATACCATTTATTATGCGGGTGAAATTTCTCCATCATTTTTCAACTCTTACTTATAATGTTATTCGATCTCTTGAGATTGATCGCCAACTCATGTTTCTATCACAAGATTAGCATTATTTTAGCTTATTGTCTTGGTTGTTAATGATACAACAAACAAATTTGTAGCTAAGCTATAATTAGGAAGGCATCCTTTTATTGCTAGGTGAGCGTCAATACTTCAAAATGTTTATTAAAAATGTTTTATCTTTTGAGATAGATTTCTTTGATTTGAATTTTATTTGTTACTAATCAAATATACTTTCTATGTCCCAAAATTATTGTTCAGTTGGAAATTTCAATTTTAATATAATTTGAACTAGAAATGAAAAATCAAACTGGACAATAATTATGGGATATATATATATATATATATCAAGTGCATAATTTTATGTTAATAAAAAAGAAGTAATAAAGAAAAACACAAAAGAAAATAGACGGCAGAAAGAAAGAAAAGGAAAGGAAAAAAGAGTTGGTAAACCCTAAAGAAGAAAATGGAGGAAATGGAAAGGGATGACAAATGACAACTTAGACAGAGAGGTGCATGATGAGCAAAAAAGGAGAGAACCAAAACAATAATGGAAGTAGATGATGTATTATTATTGTGGAGAGCCATTGGATATTGCAGTAATAATAAGGGCTAAAATGGCTAAAAATATCAATAATACAAAAGAAAAGGAAAAGAAAAGAAAAGAAGTAGAAGAATCCCTATGCCAACCAACACAAAAATTTAGAAAGATAATAAAAATGGATAGATAGATGAAAGAAGGAAAAAAAAAAGAGCAAAAAAACAGTGCCCACTAGACATGGACAGCTGAACTCAGCTTTTGTTCACTATGCAATTTGCCAAATCTTGTTGAAAAAGTGAGAAAGAAAAACAAATGCACAAAAAAAAAAATAAAAAAAAATCACCAAAATCACAATCAACCAAAACCATTCCAACTCCTCCATTCATCTCATTTCTGTAAAAAACCCCATATTCTTTTATTCAATTATTATTTATATCATCAAGAACAGAAGAAACTATTATTATTATTATTATTTATAGGTTTAAATTTTTATTAGGAATAATATAAATATATGAAACACATTCAGTTGTTGGGTTCATAAATCTAAAGCTAAACCCACTTCACTCCTAACTCACATGAGCGGTGAGGATCGCTCCGAAATGTCCGAGGACGAGGAGCGACCGTCCCCCTCAGATCTCGCCGGAGCTTCCCTCAAATCCCGGAGCTGCACCGCCAACAACCAACTCAACTCCGGCTCACCCATCGTCGGCGATTTGGGCTGCTGTTATATCCCACCAAACCCAGATCAAGTGCTCGAAAATGTGCTCGAAAACGTGCTCTGCTTCTTGACCTCCCGGCGGGATCGCAACGCCGCGTCTCTGGTCTGCAAGTCCTGGTACCGTGTGGAGGCGCTCACCAGATCCGACCTCTTCATTGGCAACTGCTACTCCGTGTCTCCCCGCCGGGTCATTAACCGGTTCAAGCGGGTCAACTCCGTGGCCATTAAAGGCCGGCCCAGGTTCGCTGATTTCAACCTTCTTCCCCAGGATTGGGGGGCCCACTTCAAGCCATGGGTAAACTCCATGGCTGAAGCTTACAGGGGTCTGGAGAGAGTGTACCTCAAGCGTATGTCCCTCACCGATGATGATCTGGCTGTCTTAGCTCGCTCCTTCCCCAATTTTCAGGAGCTGGTTTTGGTTTGTTGTGATGGATTTGGAAACGCTGGACTTTCTGTTGTTGCCAGTGAGTGCAGGTTAGTGTAACATTTTTGCATATTCTATGAGAACTTTGAGAGTTTTAGCTGCCATTAGTCCATAGATCTGATTACCTATTGCGATAACTTCATCTGGGCTCTGGTATTTTTCGAGTGAAAGATTTGATTTTGTGGGAGGGTTGTGGTTATTTTCAGCATAACAATGGTGGGCTTTGGGTTATGAGAACTATGACAGTGGTGCTTTCTAACACTTTGATAGTGTTTTGGTCAAAGATGTAGTTTCTTTTATATCTCGAGTTTTTCCCAATTTTCTACCAGTTACATGTTGAGCAGGTTAAGATCTATTGCTTCTCTTATATGTAATTGTCGTTCTCCCCTTTTATTTTTGTTATCATTACGCCATCAAATGCTGCTTCTGTGTGCATAATTGTGCTTGATTCATATGCTTTTCGATTGTTTTGAGTTGTTGGCTGCTTGATAGAACTTTGTTCTGATCTCAGGAGATTAAGAGTGCTTGAACTGATTGAATCCGAGGTTACTTTTCAAGAAGGCACAGACTGGGTTTCTTGTTTCCCTGAGGATTTCACCTGTCTTGAGTCATTGATTTTTGATTGTGTGGAATTCCCTGTTAATTTTGAGGCATTGGAGCGTCTGGTTGTCAGGTCCCCAGCATTGAAGAAACTTAGATTGAATCGATTTGTATCAATTGGGCAGCTGTATCGGTTAATGGTTCGAGCTCCACAGCTCACCCACTTGGGGACAGGTTCATTTAGCTTTTCAGAGGATCTTCTTGTGGGTGAACAAGAACCAGACTACGAATCTGCTTTTGCTGCCTGTAAATCTCTAGTTTGTCTCTCTGGATTCAGGGAAATCATTCTTGAGTATCTGCCTGCAATAGTTCCTGTTTGTGCTAATCTTACCTCGCTGAATCTTAGCTTTGCCAATGTTTCTCCGGGTGAGCTGAGATCAGTTATCCGTCATTGTCATAGACTCCAAACTTTCTGGGTAAGCACAATTCCTTGCTTGTCAAAGTTATTCCACAAATCTCTCGCTGCATTTGCTTACACTTCTTTTTTCAGGTGCTTGATTCAGTTCGTGACGAAGGACTTCAAGCAGTGGCGGCAAACTGTAAAGATCTTCGTGAACTTCGTGTTTTCCCAGTTCATGCTCGAGAGGATGTTGAGGGACCTGTTTCTGAAGTCGGCCTCCAGGCAATATCTGAAGGTTGTAGAAAGCTGCAGTCGATTCTATATTTTTGCCAGCGAATGACGAATGCAGCTGTCATAGCCATGTCGAGGAACTGTCCCGATCTTGAGGTATTCCGCCTCTGTATCATGGGACTGCATAGACCCGACCACACCACTGGAGAGCCAATGGATGAAGGTTTTGGTGCCATTGTCAAGAATTGCGAGAAGCTCACTCGGCTTGCTGTATCTGGTCTATTAACTGACAAGGCATTCAGCTACATTGGAAAATATGGGAAATTAGTAAGGACATTGTCTGTAGCTTTTGCAGGGGATAGCGATATGGGGTTAAAGTACGTGCTTGAGGGCTGTCCAAAGTTGCAGAAGCTTGAGATCAGGGATAGCCCTTTTGGAGATTCAGCTTTACTTGCTGGTTTACATCACTATTACAATATGAGGTTTCTCTGGATGTCAGCTTGTAGAGTAACTCGGGGAGGATGTGCAAGAATCGCCCAGCCATTACCTCACCTAGTAGTGGAAGTTATGGGTGGGGATGACCAAGAACTGAATGAATCAAGTAATTATGTCGGGACATTGTACATGTACAGGTCTCTTGATGGGCCAAGAACTGATGCACCGGGGTATGTGCAAATCTTGTGAGAAAATTGGAACAAGACAGATTTCATACAGATATTAAAGTTTGACATTGAGCAATCACGAATCTTGGTTATGGAATCTTTGTTGTGCTGTGGGTAGCTTTACTTTAATGACCCGCGAGACACGGTCCTCACCTTGATGAGTATGATGGTGCATGCCTTTCCACAGAATTGATCTGTTGAAATGGCTTGCAATACAGTTATTCTCGGTGGTCGATGGAATTTGGAGCTAATTCAAAACCTCCAAAACACCCTTGCAAGTAAAAGGATTGTCCCATGTTGTATTGGTACGCTTTTTTTTTACATTTTCTGTTTCTTACCATTGCATAGAAGCATTCGAAGGTTGTGGAAGGAGGGTTGTTCAGCAGTGCCAACACCGGTGCCTTGTACCACCATTGTTGGATCAAATTGTTTCTTCCACAAATTGCAGGAGGGGGTACAATGTGAATTTTGAAGTGGCTGGCTGCTATTTGGGTAAAAGGATCAAATTGATGATACATTGTTGAGAATAGGGTTTCAGACTTCAGCAGACTTATTTTTTTTTTTTAGAGATCTTAGTTTCGAGATTCTAAGGTTTAGCTGCTGATAAATCTAGTGGCCAGAAATTATACATCAATCAATCTCTCCATCTAAAATCTTTAGAAATGTTATTGTTTTTCTTTCTCCTTTGAGATACCACATGTTGTTCTCAGCACCTGACTGTTGAATTTATTATTATCATTGGTAGGAAAACATATTGAGATGAGTAATAAATGCCAAATATGCATGGACCAGATGCCAGTGTGAGTGTGTCTTTCCTTTTTCCTTGAATGTGGAATGATCAAGCTTGATTGACAGTGAAGGCCCTCCATTAAATTATGTGTATGGAAAGCATTTGTACAAGTACAAATTTTGAGGACCACTCTGTGGGTTCCATGGCACCAGACAAGAGGATGGATGGATAGAGATTTACCCTGATTTCTGCCATCCATTGGATTGGACGGACCTGATTCTCTCTCCCCCAGTCTGACTATCTTTTCTTTTTCCTCCACATGCATACATTATAGAGCTGCCTGCCTTTGGTGTTGTGAAATGGTAACAATCAGTTTCTGCAAGTTTCATCATTATCTGTTGACTTATGGGAGTCTTGTGTATTGGATAGAGTAGTCTCCAGCCTGATCTATTTATCTGAAAATGCTGTATAGTATATTGCATTCTTGATTTCTGCAGAGAATGATTTTCTCTATGGGTGGAAGCAGGACCCCATCTCATTCTCAGTTGCTAGTCGCAGCCCTGATAAATGTGAAAATTTGCCTACTTCCTCTTGTGTTCTTCTTGAAAATTGACCATACTCTTGCAGAATATGTATGGTTAAAAAAAAAAATGGCCAAAACTGGGAGTGGAATCTGAGAGTATAAGCACATTTTGATGAGTAATGGGAAGCAAGCTTGCCTTTTTCTGTATCATCGAACCATTTCTTATGTTATAAGTGGATCAAATACCACCGTACACTTGTTTCAATCTTTTTCGTTTTCCCCTAGTGGTTATGAAGTTTGAAACCAGCATTATCATGTGTTTAGGTCAGAGGAGGCCATGTACCCATTTTTGAACCCAAGGTTGAATTCGCGACGGCTATAGACTACTTGACTAGTTTTTACAGGCACAATCGTCATGTCAACTGCTTAATGTTCGAATATACGACTGCCAAATCAAATGTATTGTTCTAAAGCGGTTTTCATCATGTCAACTGTTTGCGGTTTGAATTCGCGACTACTTAGATTAACTCCTTATGCGTGATCATCTTTTGATCAATTGTCTGACCTGATCGGTTAGAAAACTGGAAATCTATCATATTGCTATTTGTTTTCATACAGGCACAGAGATATCCATATAGCTAAGATCAAAATCAAATTACTTGAGAAATTAGAGGGTTATTTTTAGAAAACAAGGGAGAAGAAAAAGTTCTTGCAAGGGGGGGTAAGAAGGGGAGGGAAAACGACACTACTAGGACGAGAAAGAAAACCATAGTGATAAGCCTATCTAACCTACTTAGAGTAAGGACAAGATAAATAATTCAACAAAAATTGACACTATAATTTTTATTAATTTCCCCCCCCCCCACCCAATACGTTGCATTACTTCTCAAACATGTCACACTATTTGGTTTGGCACAAATGTCGATTCCCTCCCCCAAATTGACAGCTACGGTCTCTCAAAACTGTCTTAACAAAATTTGAACAAGGACCTTCTGATATTAATATTATTAACCATATGTCCTTACTATTTTATCCAACTTTCCTACCCCCCATCAAATTGCATTTTGGCGAGTTTTGCAATGTATAGTATAGAGTTGAAACTTAAAAAGGTTGCAAATTTCCTTATATAAATTCTCGTCATCACATGTCCTATATAATTAGCTCTATACTTTTGCCTTGGTGATGGTAGACTTAGGATTTTATTTTTATTATTATTATTTTCCTTTTGGGGTTATTTAGTTTACTTTTGAGTTTTGATGGATGATGGATGCCAAAAAGGTCGGTGTTGGTGAATGTTGAATCCAACATGGAGAACGAACAATTGACCCCACTGGTTTCTCAAGAGAGATCAAGGCTCAAGCAATAAAAAATAAAATAAAAGATAAAAAAAAAAAATCTGTGACTGATTTATCCAATAAATTTTGGGAGTTAGGTTTTCTGATTTTTTGGGGGTTTGGACAACTTTATTTCTGTTAGGCACATTCATGGCTGAACTAAGCACGAGGTCAACCACTAAAGTACTATTTGCCCTCTCTCGTGCTGCTCCACTTCATTTGATCTCCCACTTAGTTTTAACTGTGTGATTAGGTGTGTGTTTGTTGCTTTAAGTTTCCAATTCAAGATTACCTCTCATCCGTCCCAAAAAAAATAGTCTATTTAATTAAACTGTGAGAGAATACTATATTTACTTTTCGTCTCTTTACGCTAGGCCATGAAAGTATCTGAACTTATAGTTCTGGTGCTTTAATTTTTATATAGTTAATGTTAGGGACGGAGCTAAAAATAGTTTTTAGCCTGATTAACTTCTTAACCGTAAGTATGGTTACTTTAATTTTGAACTAGTTAAAAAGAAACAAGTTATTGAACATGCACTTGTTCAAGAAAATGGTAACGACTCGAAATAGTGTTTTCATATATCCGGTGTGTAAAGGAAAAAGTCGAAATTATAATCGTACTACAAAATAGAATATTAAATGATCTCCATTTAATTAAAAGAAAAGAAAATATAAAGTTGAATTGAATAAGCCCTCCTAGTACAACTTGTATTAAATAAAAATGTTTCTTTTTTGGTGTACTTGTAAAAATTTGATCCCATGCTAGCCGAGATCGGATCCCATGTTTAAATTAATATTCAAAGTTGATGGGCTATGGTTTCTTATTGATTTCTTCATCTAACTCTATTTAATTTGGTTATGGAGCCTGTCAACATTGATGCGTGACCGACATTTTTTGGCAGCTTCTGTATTGTTTTATGGCTGAAAAATTACTTTGAATCGAAAGAGAATCAGATTAATTGGAAGTCCATTAATTTAGCTGACTGATTTATTGAAGAAGAAGAATATAGACGTGCATGTGCAGCCATGTAAGACTTAATCGGGAATAGATCGATGGCTTTTTGTTGAAGAAGAAGAACCCAAAAAAGAAAACAGAAGAAAGAAAAAAGATTAGATATATATATATATATATATATATATAGATATATGCTATAGTCCAGTTAATTAAATGACGAAAAACATGAAAAAGAAAGCTTCGGAAATAGGGTATACTCTGAACTTGGAATGAAATCCAAAGATATGAAACCCTAAAATAAAATTGGTACTGTTTGACTTTCAATGTCGGGGGAAGGAATTTTTTTGCTACATTTTGAAACCCTAGGCAAAGTGTAGCAGGGTTCATGAATTATGAAGGGTTAAAATTTCCACCTCAGTGTTTGTTCTTCTTCACTCGATTTATTAACATTGATTTCTGTATCCTGAGGCTGGTGTAAGAAATTAATAAAGGTTTAATTTGAAGATATTTTTTTGAAAGTGGCTAACTACTATGAATGGGTTTGTTTGAGAAGGAATACGAAAAAAAAGAAGTAAATATCAGTTGATATTGTCCCTCCGGTCTTTAATATAAGACATTTTAATTTTGTTCTACATTTCACTTAATACGCATTTTTAATTGATGAAAAAACCTTAAAAACAAATTTTCACAATCCTTGTATTCTCCAACCTGATCAGATTTTACTTATTATAATCACAATATCGTCGGGTCGATTCTCCGAACTGAAGATAGCTTTGTCCATGGTGTGTAAACACTTTAGAAACTAGAAATCATATTTATATATACTTCTCTTCCAAAAAAAAAAATCTAAACATTAATTTTTTAACAGAAAGAATATAAAAGAACCAATTAAAGAAGTTATGCAACATTAGTCGGACTAATTATTTCTAGAGAATGCGAATGATGGAAAATGATAAAGTCTAGACCACTTTTAGGCAACATAGGTCAAGGCTATTTAGGTTTATTAGCTACATCCCTTATAGGACCCTTCTTCTCTGTTAGTATTTTATTTACCATTAAAATTCTGCGTAATTTGTACTGCAACTTTGTGCCCTTCATTTGCGTGTCGTATGGCTGGGTATGTTAAGATTGGGGGGGTCCTCCCCTCTAACTCTTCTTTATCTGCCGACTTATTAAAGTCGTTTCTTGACAAATGACAATTTATATTCCCACTCTAGAATCTACATTATGAAATTGAACACATTTAAAAGTAAAAGCCAGTGAATTGGTGTTAATTAATAGTAAATTTCAAGGTTTAACACTAACATGATAGATCCGTTCTATAATCATATGATTAGATTATTGACAATGGGAACTGGTCCAAATCAAATTTGCGATCATTCTAGATTTTTAGTCATATTTTGTCATTTTAATAACCTCTTGAGCTTCTAATAAATGCTATTTTTGTTTGTACGGTACTCATTTCGAGACGAGAAGAGTAAAAATTATTCTCAATGGTATGCACCAAATCACCAAATTAAAACTACCTGTTTATAGCACCAAATTACGGATTCATGAATATTTGGGTACATGCTTACCGTTCATGAACTGCCACTTCCGTTCATGAACTTGAATTTTCTTTTAAATTTTTAGTTTGTTTTGAATTTTATGAAATAGTCCCTGACTCCCCCTGTAAATTAAGTGATATGTAGCTATTCTATATAAATATTAGACTTATTAAATTCATAATTTAACTGATTTTCATGTGTGTCATTTAATATTTCATTTATTTAATTATGATCGAATAATGAAATTACATAATGTACATAGAAAAAGGATATCTACTTTGAATGATTTTTTTAATCCTTTTAATTGTAATGCCATTACGAGTGTGTGTATTTTTATTTGCAAGAGGATGTAATTTTAATTATTATTTTAACTTATTATTTATTGAGTAAACAAAAAAAAATTCAAAAAATATTTTAGATGCCATTCAAAATATTAAGAAAAGTTTGGCTTTCTTTTTGTAATTTCCTAAAATTAATTAAAAAACCAAGGATAAATAGGAACATATAAGAAATATGTATTTTTTTTTTTGGTTGTAGAAGTAAATACTGATAGATAAAATGTAAATTACTATAAGAGTCAGAAAAATATCAAACTGGTGAATTGGTGTGCACCAAATTGGTGCTGTTGGGAACTTGGAATGGCTTTGCTGTTTTCAACTTTTTTGTCAACTAGTTTTACTTTTGGTTGCAAACGTCTAACAAGTTCCAAAAATGCATATGCTCTTTGGGTACTAGCATATATTACTTTTAAAAATAACACATTTATTCCTTTAATAAAAAAGGTTTCATATTTGATTTGTAATAAACTCAAGAAACGCGCTATTCTTTGTAAATCAGATGACCATATAATAGAAAACAGAGTAGATACATTTTTATTATTATTATCATCTGTTTTGACAAACATGACACATTTTTATACTAGTAACATATGAAATCTTCTTCCGTCCCGTAAAAATAATTCACATAATAATCTATACTGTTTAAAAGATAGAAAATTTTTTCTTATATGCTCGATTACTTCTTTGTAATGAGACTTTTAGTTACTTGTTTAGTGCCAAAAGATACCATGCAAAAAAAAAGAAAAAGAAAAAAAAAAGATTGGAGAACTTTTATGATGAGATCAAAATCAAATCAGGAATCTTTCTTTTGAGAGAAAAACTTCCTCGTCCTCCAACTTGGTTTGTCAAGAGGCCATTTTCAGCCAATTTTCATTCCCATATTAAGCACTTAATAATTAATCTAGAAGGTTAATTAAATGGATACCCCCTACTAATCTGTTGTTACAAATTGATTCTTCATTAACAAAAGTCAAAACAAAAAAGATGGACGAACAAAAATGGTCCTTCTGTGTTTTGAAGAGGTGCGAGCTTAGGTGAAATACACTCTCTTATTGGGAAACCTGAAATGAAAAGCCTTTAGGTGAAAAAAAAAAAAGCAGGCCATTGATCAACTTCAAAGATGGTCAATAAAGTTTTTGAAAGAAATTCCGGAGGTTATTCCATGGTGGGGGGGACCTAGCTCGTAGTTTTTTCTAGAAAACGACCATGGTAATGAACATAAATATGACTCATTTATTTCGCCAATGTTATAAGTCCGAAGTGAAATTATTATGATTCTTAAGGCGTTAAAAAGAAGGATGGAAGGAATATGGTCAATTTTAGTGAAAAATTTTCAAAAATTCACTTTCTTAACATAAAACGCGATGTGAAATTATTATGATTCTTAACGCGTTAAAAGGAAGGATGAAAGGAACATCGTGAATTTTAATGAATTTTTTTTTTCAAAAATTTAGTTCGTAAACATAAAACACGATGTGATGTCTAATCTCTGGTGTGAAAATGTAATGGAGATCATTCAAGGAAAGAATTTTGTAAAAAAGGAGGGACATTAGGGAAGAAAACAACCGTTCAAATGCTCGGAATAAGTTTTAGCCTTTTAGTACGTACTACCTTATTATTTGACATGAAATAAAGTAAAAGACATTGCTCCTGAATCTTTGATTGGGACTGCCGAAATGTTTCCTTCCCTTATTTTTTTTTTTTTGGATTAAACGAACGAAACCCAGAGATGGTCATTCATTATTTCATTCACCATCATACACACACACACACACAAAAAAGTAGTTTTAAAGAAGCAACTTGCACCTATTAAATCAAGTCAAGACTACTGTTCATATATTCCAAATTCACCACAGCAACTCAATTCAAGAGGGAAATTACATTACTACATCACAGAAGACCTCTAATAAAAAGTGTATATATTTAATTATATACGGTGAATCGATAAGACAATTATTTTAGGACGAAATGAGTATTATGTTTCTTAAAGTTCTGTTCCTAAACTGGGATGCTTAAAACATTTGGATAAGCCTAGGATGAAGTTGTGATTCTTGGATGGAAGTCCAATGTACCATGATTGCAACGTATATATATATATATATATATATATATATATATATATATATATATATATATATACACGGCTGTAGTTATCTGAAGCAAGAAAAATAGAGGACCCTTATAATTTATGAGAGATTCCCACTTGGTATTTTTGAATTGAAAACAGAATGATTTTCTATGGTCATCTCTGAGCTCTGGGGTTCTTTTCTTTCAGGTATTACTCCACTATCAGAGGATTAGCTGATTCTATAAAGTGTTGAAAATCCAGTCTCTGATGTTTATGGGCCTTTCATTCACGTACAGAAATCATAGTGAGGGGCTGGCATTAGAAGCTTGCACATGAAGTTGCATCTTTGGAATTTTGTTTGGGGAAATGAGAACTAGAATTTTATGAATCTTTTGGGTAATGTATTGATTGATAATTGGTCGTAGGCTTGTAAGCATTCAAGGCCCAAACCCCAAGTTCCAGAAACGGCTGAAGACATATTGAGGCCTAAAGCAAATCTAAAATTTGGGGCCTTCTAGAAGGAAAAAAAATCAAAATTTGTATTTTGTTTTTTTTTTTTTAATGTTGGATTTCTTCCTTTAATTATTTTTTTTATTTTTAAAGTCTCACTGAGTATTTAAACCTTTATTAAAAATTCCACCTAAGACTATTAATGTATTAATTTTTAATCTTTTTTTTTTAAAAAATAAATTATTAATAATACAAAAAAATTTGAGGCCTTCAAAAATTAGGGGCCCATAGCTTCACTAGTTTGGCCCTAAGACCGCCATGCACACTGATCATTCATATGATTGGGAGAAATAGTTTCTTGACGTTTGATTTCTCTGGGTTTGTCCTGGATGGGAACCAAAAGTAGATACATGCTTCAAACCAAAGTTCCCTCAGAACGGGTTCTACTCAAGTACTATGGAATGGGGAACTAGGTGAAAGCTTCAAACCAAAAAGAGAAGTTCGTCAAGGAGATCCGTTCTCAACTTATGTGTTCATTCTCTGTATGGAGCGACTCTCCCATGCCATTAATGCAGCAGTCTCAGCCGGCAGCTGGAAACCTTTCAGCTTCAGGGGTGGCCAGGTACCAGTGTAGCATCTTTCTTTTGCTGATGACCTAATACTTTTTGCAGAGGCGACAAGGAACCAAATTCAAACCATTTCAATAGTATTAAGGAGCTTCTGCCGAGCCTCTGGTCAATCTATAAGCACAGAAAAATCAATCTTATATTGCTCACCAAACCTGGACACAAACACAGCAGCAGAACTTAGCTCAATGATGGGTATCAAGCTGGTAGATAGTTTGGGAAAGTATTTAGGCACCCCAATCATTCATGCCAGGCTCCAAAAGTCCAATTTTGGCTCACTCATATGCAAAGTAAAATAAAGAACATCACACTGGAATCCAGAAAAAATAAGTATGACAGGTAGACTCACATTATGCCAATCCATTCTATCTGCTATACCAATCTACCTAATGCAATCTCAAGCAATCCCCAAAGGCACTAGTGATGAAATCGACAAAATAAGACGGAATTTCCTATGGGGAAACACTCAAGGGAAAAAAAAGATGAACATGATCAGCTGAAAAAGCATATGTCAACCGAAAAAACGTGGTGGTCTAGGTCTCAGGAAACTCAGGGACGTCAACAATGCGTTTATACTCAAGCTAGCGTGGGAGCTCATCACAGCAAAAAACAGTCTATGGGCAGCTATTTTCAAGGCAAAATATACTGTCGAAACCAACCTAAATCGAGCATCACATTTAGGGAAACATATCGCAAAAGTTTGGGACATCGTCAATAATGGCATCTAGTGGACTATAGGGAATAGAGAAAGAATCAACTTTTGGAAAGATACCTGGATCGACATGGAAGATCCTTTAATTCATCATGCACTATCTGATGTCCCAACAGATCTCCTCCATAAAAGTGTTAAAGAATACATTGACCAAAGCGGGAACTGGAATTGGGATATCATCCTGCTTCCTAGCGCCAGAAATCTGTAGGAAGATCATGCAACTCCACCGCCTCAGGAAGATTTAGGCTACTGACAAACCAACATGGAGGTGGTCGAAATCGGGTGCTTTCTCTACAACCTCCGCCTACACCGTTCTCAACAGGGCTCAATGGAACGAAGAAGATAGCAAATGGCAAGCAGCGTGGAAGTGGAAAGGATCACAGAGAATTCGGCTATTTCTCTGGTCCATGCTCCGAAAATCCCTCCTTACAAACGAAGAAAGACAACGATGGCATATCTCTGATGTGGACAGCTGCGATTTCTGCAGCAGAAGAGAATCACTCTTCCATCTATTTCGCGATTGCCCGAATTCCGCCCAAATCTGGAATCTAATCTATCCCAACCTCATAAATTCCTTCTGGTATGATATGGATTGAGATAATTGGCTAACTTCTAACTTATCCCAATCTTCTCTGCAGAATACTCAAAACTGGTCTACATACTTTGCAATAGCAAATTGGACCATATGGAAGGCCAGGAATGAAGAAATCTTTCAAGAGGTACACTGGAGTTCCACAGAATTGGCCAAGCAAATTCAAGCCTCTGCCATGGAAGTAATCAGGACAAATCGCTCTAAAGATTCTGCGACAGGCAACCACCAATTCGACAGCAACCCTGCACCCCATAACCAACTCATCCCGGCGGACCCAATCTGGAAGCCACCGCCGTAGGGATGGATTCGCTTGAACTCCGACGGAGCAGTGCAGACCAGTCCGGCAGTAGCGATAGCGGGGGCGTCCATTCAAAAATGACGATGGAAAGTGGGTGATTGGATATTTCGCGAAATTAGGAGATTGCTCAATGTTAGAAGCAGAGCTCTGGGCTTCGTATAGCGTGGGATTTGGGCTTCCGCAGGGTCCAAATGCAACTGGACAACCACCAAGCAGTCAAACTGTTAAATGAAGAAATCCCCACCCACGGCTCTTGTAATGTTTTACTTAGAGCAAAGCATTTTTTGAACCGAGATTGGCTTGTGGAAATTACTCACATCAAGAGAACTGGTAATGAATCGGCAGACTCATTAAGCTAGGTTTTGTACATACTCGGGGGCTACATATTTTAGCAACGTCCCCTATAACATGCTAGATAAGATAGTTTTAGACTACCCGAATTAACTCTCTCGCGACGAGTTATTTTTATAACTAAGCTTCGGTTTCCTCAGTATATATAAAAAAAAAAAGAAAAGAAAAAGCAGATACATGCAAGCAAGAAAAAGAAAAATGCATCGAGCTGGTAATTTTTTTGTTATAAAAGAGATACTTCAAAATGATTACATTACGCGAGTAAGAAACAATTCTAGACATGGTTTTAATCCCAACAATGGATTAAGCGAATGCATGAAGACTCGAACAACATTGAAACAAATGATAATCCCACAGGCAGAAGCGAGCTTGTATGATTGATGTACTTGGGAAAGACTATGAATGGAGTGTTTGATTTAGGAATAAAATTGCAGAAACTTCAATCAAGAATTAATGACAACCAGCCTGATGTTTTACTGTTTACAACAAGAGACTATATATTTTGCTAAATACATAGCCACATTACGGCTGAGGTGGTGTAATATATGTATGACATTATAAGCTAAATACATTGTTCCTCTGCTTCTATATGCGAGGCTCTCTGTGGAGATTCGTCATGGTCATTGCCTGTTGAAATCTCCTTTTGCATTCTTTCAATAAAGCTGTGCATTTGCACCAATGTTTTGTCATCTGAAGCAGTACCAATGGTTTTATATAATCAGGCATCGCCGCGGTGGACAGTAAATTAACTCAAGGAGAAAGATAGAAGACTGAATGCATTAGAGGATTACCAAATCTTGGAATGGTGTGAGCCTTTGGATGATGGAGGACGAACGGGTCCTTAAAAGATTCTATGAGTTCAACCCCATATTGCTTCAGAAAATCATGCTCTCCTGCAACCACGAAAGAAGTAAATAAGGTTGACTTCAAATGTTTGGCGGATAACCTTTCATTTCTGCTTCTAAGATGTTTTAGTTTGTTTCACAGAGTACTTGAAAGGTGACTAAAGGTTAAAACAAAAAGTCCCACAAAATATAACAAAAAGTCCCACAATATATGATCTCATGTTTTTCATGTGAGCTAACAATAGTAGTTATTCTTAAGGAACAAATTGCAACATCTTTTGCCAAATTGTGGAACTTCATGGGACTGATCTATCTATCTTCAGTGAGTATTTGACTGTCTTGTCTTAGCAATGCAAGCAACTCATGCACGAGGTTGATACACAACTTTGACAGAGCAAAAAATGTGGTAGCCAACATAATCAAATGCCCAAAAACAAAAATATGTATTCATTTGCAGCAGTAAGGCAATTCAAAGCAGTAAACCAATCACACGACCTGGAAAAGAAATTGAATTCTACAATGCCAATAATAGCATTTTAGATAACCCTTCGTATGACAGCTAATACTAATAAGTAATAACCATGATCATCCAACTCTGCAACTTTTCCACGCCAACAGCATTTCAACACTATTCAAATTGGTGCAGGATGAAGACGACTAACACAAAGCCATTACCATTAAAGGGTTTTTGGTCCTGTGTAGACGTCGAATCTAATCCTATACCTCAATTTTCATTCAACTTTACAGTTTAAGAAAATATTTCTATATTCCGGATACAATCATTCATATTTCCCAAATCTCTTTTAATAAAACCAAAATATTATGCTGTCCGTACTTACCCTTTATGACCTTTGTGCATTCGACAAATCTGAATCATGTCCTAGAGTCATACAGACACGGAAAAGATGCAATGAAGGCGCGACCAAGTTAATTAGGATTCTAGCCTTGTGACAAATTCATAGACACACAGTTGAAAAATCAGGTTGAAAACCACAGTCGTCATTAACCTCAATGGTTTCATGCATTCAAGAAATCTGAATCAGGGCCTAGAGTCTTTCGGACACAAGTACAAGATGCAACAAGCGCTGTACAAAGTTAATGGTGGGCTTTTGACAAAATTCATAGACATCCAGTAAGAAATTCATGCTGAAAAACACAGCTATCATCAATCGTAACACACAAGAAATTAAGAGTAGAGTCAGGAGTACCTAGGAAGTGAACAGAAGGACATTGAATTTGTGATGCATATGCTTTCTCACACACTGATTGCTTCCTGAACTTGGCCCCTCCAATTATTATCAAGAACTTTATCTTTGGAACCTTTGTAAGAGCCACACCCTGCCAAACACAAAATTACATCCCAACAGGCTCAGATCATCGACTAAAAGCTTGGAAGCTCTCATTTGGCAAAATATCCTTCCACCTAATAAAAAATTGTAATCAATGCTAAAAGAAAGGAGGAGAAGAACTTGTCAAAGTACCTGCTCCTGAAGACCGGGTAAAGCGGCTGATAATATTGCCCCCTAAATCGTTGGGACACCTCGATTAGATACAGCAATATAGAAATCATAATGTGAATAAATTCATAAAGTTTGATCAACTTCCCAAGTCAAATTATGTCTAAGACCTTGAATTGACACGTTCATACAAGGAAAATGATGCGGTGAACATCATAGTCAAACATATTTCCCCGCAACATAAGAGGAGAGCAGTAAGCCAATTCATCAGCATGCAAGTTACAACATCTAAGTTGATACCATATGTCCAAATTTCAATGGCCAGAGTGATTTCAAACCGAAGTTGAACAATTCAATAAAAGGTCAAAGGATTGGTAAGCATAAATTACACAAGTCAAAGTCACATAAACCAACCTGTGAGAAGCCAAGAAGACCATCAAAAGGACCATGCTGAATCATGTAATCCTCAACGAAAGCAAGACACTCATCGAAATTCTCGTAATCAGTAAATTCCTGAAATAAGAAGAACAAAAATACAGCAAAGCTCATCAATCTCAAGCTAAAATACCCATGAAACCAATTCAAAAATTGAGAGATTCCCCAAGAGAAGACGCAGACCTTGTTGAATTGAAACCATTCATAATAAGGAGGATCAAAGATTCCTTCAACTTCAGATTTTCCGGTACAAGGAAAAGGGGCATCGACGTAAACAAGGTCAAGTTTTTCCAAAACAGATTCCGGCCACTTGGTTGTCAATTGCTTCCGCATGATTTCACCGCTTGTCCTGAACCCATGGAGGCATAAAATCCTGGGCTTTCTCTCATCAGTAATCGCTATCCCTTCACTTCCCATATCTCTTAATCAAACCAAAAATCAAACCCACTTCCAAGAATATTGGAATCGGAAATAATCAAAGTCAAAAGAAGAGTGCCCTGTGTGTGGGAGAGGGATGAGATGCTGACAAATGGACCAGCAATTTATATAACAAACAAACAACAACTAATTTATATAGAATCAAGCGGAATGGCGTGATGGGTCGGATGAAACTGGAATATTCCGGAGTAAAGGTGGATGAAGAACGGTGGTTTCGAAGGAAGATCGTCGGGTTGTGAATCAGTTTTTTAACAATCCCCCGCCAGCCAGACAGTTTTGGGCGTGGACGGTTTGGTAAATCGAATGGTCTAAAACAAAAATGTGGCAGACACTTATGTTTGACTTTATTCACACGTATTTCCTCAGCTCACCCCTTCTTGTTTGTAGTACATCATCAATCAATTGTTATTATTATAGAGTCTACTCCAAAACTCTCTATAATTTATTTTGTCAAAATTAAAATGAAGCCAATTCCTTTTTGGGAACGGAAAGATTATCTTTTATAATGTACCCTCTCTGTTTCAAAAAAAAAAAAAAGTGCATATGATATTGAGTAATTTCATTTTTAATTCAATTGAGTAATTTATATCGAGTTTTGATATTGTATTATTTTTATAATATGAATTTCAAACTTATGGACTATTTTTTAGAGGATTTTAGATAGAGTAATAAACTCAGTATACGTGGTATTAATACACGTTAATTAATAGTGACATAACACTAATCAATACTCCCTCCATTCACAAATAGATGTCGCTGGAGAGATTTCACAAATTTTAAAGAAGTAATAATTATCTTGTTAAAATACTATAATACCCTCATTTATTCTTAATTCAATTGTAGTCCCAATAAAATTTACTTCTAATACAATTCTACATTAAACCTCACAACAATTTCCAATGTAAGGGTGATATTGGAAAAAATTGACAATATATGCCTCGATTTGTGAGAACGACATCTATTTTGGAATATTTGGGTTTTCCTCCAACGACATCTATTTGTGAATGGAGGGAGTAATATTTAACTATGAACTAAGTGTATCAATTATTTTGTGCGTTTTAATATTATTTTACGAGTTTAGTTAATTTATTGTACCAAATTGATTTTTTAAAAAAAATTTAAAATAACACGACGTTTGAGTGGGAATATCTTTAGTATTTTCTATATGTGTGAAAAATTTTATTCCATGAAGAATTTCGTTTTTTGACTATATTATTTGATTCCTTCTTGGATTATTTTGGTTGGCACTGGCTACTGCTTATGTACGTAGAAGTTTATACTTTGATGGTAATGTTGTAAGTTGTAACGTTCAACTTTTAAATTTTCTTTTTTTCAAAAAAAAAAAAAAATTATGTCTATTTATCGTACTAAAATATTTTTTTTTGGTACAATGAGGGAGGCCAAAATCTAAAATATTAAAATATTATACCAATAAAAATTCACTGTCGACGTCCAGTAAATAATTTTTCTTAATCACCGATTAAGAATTTGAGAGTAAGAAAAAAGTAGAAAAAATATGTGAAATAGATTATTTTTACCTCTCCCTACAAAGAAACTTATTTATGTAACATTCTAAACTACTTCCTCCGTCCCATAATTATTGTCCAGTTTGAGTTTTCATTTCTACTCCCTCCGTCCCATAATTATTGTCTAGTTTGAGTTTTTATTTCTAGTTCAAATTATGGGACAACAATTATGGAACGGAGGGAGTATGATTTAATCACCTTTTATCATAATTCATAAAATTAAATTTGAATAATGCGTACCATAAATCTTTGCAAAAATACATTTTTTTTGTTTTTCCCTTTGAGACGAAAAAGTACATTTTGCCATTAAAAATATACTCTTTCTTTCTTGAGGCCTATAATCTAATTCTCCCGTTGCCGGACTAAGTTACTTATAATTATATAAGAGTTGGATGTCCACCAAAGTCACCGTCCATAATACACAAAGTAAATTGGTCATTTTATAAAGGATCCGAATAGTCTTTAGCATACCGGTAGGCGAATGCGAGAATTTGATCACGTGTTTAACAATGTTAATAACGTACACAATAATTAAAAAAGAAAAACCTCTATCAAATAAAGTAAACTGAAGAGTAAACCTAGCTTTGTTTGGTTTGTTTTTTTTTTTTCCCTGTAAATTTTACTATTTATATACTAATAATGTTGCGTTTGTGCGACGGATGCCCTGCATTTATATTTATTTAATCAATATTCATTACTTGTAAAAATAAATTTATTTAAAAAACATATTCGATACACAGGGAGGATAGGTATCTTTGTCGCATTATGGTCGTTGCTCTGCACTAAAAAAAGGAAAACTTGCGTGTAATTTGTAATTGGACGTAAGAGGACGATTGAAAAAGATTCTATGTTCATAAGTCTATTTAGTAAATTTGTGATTTTGAAATTGAATAAGATGAGATATATTTTTGATTGGCAATAAATCCACCATTGTATAGAGCATGTATTTATGCAGGTTTTACTCATAGCACAATAGCATGTAAAAGATTTTGATTTGTATTTTTTTTCAGAAAAAATTATGCAAGTACATTTATTTAGTTGATGAGAGTATATGAGATAAAGATTTTGTTAATGGAAATTAGCAAAGGTTCGAGTTATAAGTAGAAAGATTTCATTCAGTAGTAAAAATTAAAGAAATAAAAATTTGATAAGTAATTGAAACAGATTTTTTTTTTTTTTTTTTGAGTCATGAGTAAATTTTGATAATATTTGTGAGACTTGAAAGATTAAAAAATGAATAAAGTCACAAAAACTTTCCATTTAGATGTAATGATCATTAATTTAGTTGTTTTTCTCTAGTTGTTAAAAAATTTAAATGGTGTAATATTGACATGGCAAAATAAAATTAAACCTTAAAGTATGGTTTTTGTTTTTAATATAGTATATCCTACTGTATTAGAAACAAAAACCTCCCTTTCAAACACCTCATATGATTGCCACGTGGCATGTAGAAAATACGAAATTGCCCTTTTGTCTAACTATAACTAAATTACTAAATCTCCCTTTGCACTTTACGTGACACGTTTTTTTTTTTTAATTTTTTCTTTATGTTTCATTCAACTAGAGTGGTTTTTTAAATTGAATTGATCAATTAGGTTTTTTATTACAAAGTGTCAATTTTGTTTTAAGCGTATACCCTTTGGATGAAACTTATTACAAAGCTATTAAAAATCTCCAAAACTAAGTATTGATTTGGCACGACCAATGGAGAACATCAATAAATCATCTTACTAATATTTAAATTTATTAGGATGCTTTTATATTTTATCTAACATTTACTTCAACACATATATTCGATTAAGTTATTTATATTTAATAAGTAACACTTATAAAACATTTCTAAAACATACATGGCGAAATACAATTTAATTTTTTTTTTTGCGAAATGCAAATATTTCTATGATCACACTTATAAAACATTTCTAAATCCTTCAAACATTTCTAAAATATATCGCTCCAAATACAAAATTTTATTTTTTTCAAATATAAACATTTCTAAGATCTACAGATAGATTAGGCCAGGGTCGCGCAATCATCACTAGTATAAGATATAAGATAACATGTAATTTTTTCAACACCTTTTCAAATTCTAATAAGTTTATATTTTTTCATTCTCATTCGGCAAAAAGAAAAAAAAAAAAAAAACTAGAGTAAACATTAAAATAGAGCTGGTTTTCTTCATTGTTTGACGCTTTGACTAACTCTTTTCTTAACACGGTCTAGACAAGTCAGCAAACTCTCCCACGTCCAAGATTCAATTTCAGCCATTGATACTGCCCACAATTTATATTGAGTGAAGATCAACGGTGATCAACCCTTCGTTTCCGTCATAAACCAAAAAAAAAAAAAAAAAAAAAAAAAGAGAGTAATTTCATACAAGACCGCTGCCTACGCATTTGCTCCCGTTCCGGTGAAACTTTCGGTTGCAGCTTCGTCGTGATGGCGTCGAGTTCTAACAGAGGCGGGGATTTTTACGGTACAGGTTCTTACAGATCGAGGTATTCCTTTTTTCTTTTTGTTATCAATTGAAAAGCGATTCTTGTTAATCTTTTGGGAAAATTCAATTTGAAATATGCCCTAATTCGAAGATCTTATTTAATTTTTGTCCCAATTGCTGATTCTTTTGTGGGAATTGAGTAGGGAGGGTTTAACTACGAGACAAGTAGGGGCATCGGATGAAATACAGTTGAGGATCGATCCCATTCACGGTGACCTCGATGATGAAATCTCCGGCCTTCGCAAACAAGTTCGTCAGCTGAGGAATGTAAGTTTTTTTTTTTTTTTTTCTTTTTTCTCCCTTTAATTTTTTTGGGTAGTATTTCCGTTTAGATTTTTAATGAGTGTTTCAGTTTAATGTTTGTATGATCAACTTTTAGGTTTTTAGATTTGGCATTTTGTCTGTTGTCAAGTGGTGACCTGCTTATATTGATTGATGATTGAAGCGATTCGTGCTCATTTCGATTATGAAAGTAATGCTAACATTATTATCTTCCTTGCATTCCCTCCTGCCTCGCTTTGTGGATTTTTTTTTTGTCCTTGATCATATTTGTTGGTATACTTTGATAATGTAATGGCAATCATTGTTACACTTCTAAGGAAATAGCTTTTCCTGATTGTCTAATTCCTTGCAATTAAGGTGCTAATAAATCCAGATTATTTATGTGTTTGATCAGCTACACTTCCCTAGTGTTTCCAGCCCTACCGAAAGGTTTTCTTTGTGTTGTTTCCTGTTTTTAAAATTGAATCATTTTCTCTGGTTAGATATCGTTTTTGTATTTGTGCTTCTTATTATTTTCCCAGAAACCTGCGTGGTTGTTCCAGATTTGAGTTTAATTCTGTTGCTTGTTTTATGCGCATTCCCAGCTTTTCCATAACAAGATAGAAAGTCATTTCGGATTGTGTCTGTTTACTAACTTTGACTTTGTTTGCTTTGGAATCATTTGCAGGTAGCCCAAGAGATTGAGACAGAAGCAAAATTTCAGAATGATTTTATCAATCAATTGGTATGCCTAGATTTGAAAGCCCAGTAGTTTTAGTGCATCATTATACTGTCTGTAATTGCTGCATCTGAATTTCCAGTTCGTGAAGACCCTTTTCTCTGTTAACACACGGGCATTGTTATTTGTGATTTAATTATATATTGATTTATTGGATTCATTGCATGTATGATGAGTATGATGAGCAAAACACTAGATGATAATCAAGTCAGACTAACTGAGTTCAAGGTAGAAGGATTATCTGGGGAGGTTCGGTTAAAGTATGTAATCTGTGGCATCTATATGAAGATCTTGCTTGCTAACAACTGCTTAGTTTTGGGAGTATAAAGAATGCAATAAGATGTTGCTTGTAGTTATATGAGTGGTCTTTGCTGCATGGAGTTAGCAGAATCATATGCACCAATTTATCATTCTATTTTCTTCAAATTGTTTGTATATGATAGATGCTTATTGAGACATATCATCAAATCGAAGAAAGTTAAAACGTATGTGATACCTTTTAGCACTATTGTAAGCTGTTTGGGCACTTGTAAGTGGAAGGAAAAGGAAAGGTTATGGATTCTGTTATGCTCTGTGAGTGATTTTGTCAATTGTTTTTGCCTCCCCTTTCCTTAGAAAAGGGATTACCGTCAGAATACCTGGTTGCTAACGAGTTGGTCTTCTCTGTGTAGCAAATGACCCTGATTAAAGCTCAAGCAGGAGTGAAGAATAACATGAGAAGATTGAATAGGAGTATTGTCAAAGAAGGCGCGAATCATGTTATGCATGTTGTTCTGTTTGCGCTGGTGCTTTTCTTTGTGGTTTACTTCTTATCCAAGCTCTTCCGAAGGTGAAGCAAAGTTGTCTTGATACAAGGGGATACAAGAGAAACCAGCATGTCATGCCAAGTTTCGTCCAAGACAATGCAAATTGTTGGGAGTTATGAACAAAGCAATTTAGTTATAGATCTAATTCTGAGAAATATGTATAATAACATTTTCGGATGTTTGATGACTGACTTTGATTTGTGTAAGATAAAATTCTGTTTTGCGATAAAATTGCTGATCAGTTACTGTGCAATCGAGCTAATGGAATCAACCAGGATTACATATTCTTGACATAATTGTTTGTCCTGTGTGATGTTGCCTGAAAATCTTTAGCAGGTAGCTGAGCATTGTTGCTCATACTAAGATACTATGATTTGACATCCTCGCTTTGGATCTTTAACTCTATTTTAACATCACGTTGTCTTAACAACGAGGACAGACATTTGAAACATGCTTCTCTTGGTTGGTTCTTGCTTCTTCTAGCTTCTCCTGCCTCACTTCATTCAGCACCTTTTTACCCCATTCAGAGAAGTAGGTTACATTGTGACCAACTATCCCATCTTTGTGGAAAAGAAAGCATTGAAGTTCATCTTTTGGATTCGGGCAATCATTACCAACTGAATCCCACCATGCGCCTCGATGTTTCATACCCGATTGATTCGCCATCCAATGGTGCGCATATTGACCTACCCCTGCGTACTCCAACCATCCTTTCGGGAAGAATTCCATCACGCTGCTGTTTCGTTCCATGAAGAACATATTTGTCAGCTGAGCTCCATGAGGAGATGCAACAATGTCACTGTTGCTCATCACCCGCACCTAAAACAAAGAAGAAGAAACTAGATAAACAAACAGATTTACATCAACTACATCATTGGAACTAATCCAGCTTTATGAATAATGTAATGCATACAGTCAAAAGGAAGATGATGCATTACCTGATCACAGAAGCTTAGATCTTCTGACTGGATTAGGTTGAAGACGCATCCTTCCACCTTTGCACATTCCTTTGAAAAAACCTCTGCAACAACTGTTGCATTCTTGAAAGATCTCGAACCTTTTCTCAACAGCAGAGTGAAGTTTATAACTGGATTACCTCTTTCATCCACATTTCTTCTCGTTCTCACTGGAATGCCACAAAATTTTCTGGCCTTACAGCGCAAGGAGTCGAACGCCTTCAATTTGTTCTCCAGACCCATTCCTCCAGTATCATGCCTCACCACGACCGCCTTCTCGAAACAATAAGGCCCGTCTCCCTTCTCAAACTTCTCAATCTTAAGATTCCCATAGTAAATCTTCAAGAGCTGCTCCAGCCAAGATCCCATCTTGAAGGTGACTTCTCCGGTTTTGTACAGAATCCATCTTCTTGGCCTTAAACATCCATTCTTCATCGACCATCTCACGAAAGGAACAGCAGTACCTATTCCATGCCACAAGTTTATATGATTGAAATAAGTGTATGATATAAAAGTAAGGCCTTCCATGAAAATGGCCGACTCAGGAAGACTGTCTTTCCAAGCCAATGCATACGAATTCTTCGTGCCATCGCCCGAATCGCGTCCCTTTAGACAGAGAACTCTGTCCTGGGAAGCGTCTGATGGGAAGTACAAGTACTCTGCTTCGTCTTTCTCGATCGTGTCATACAATGAACTCATGAACCATGTATTTCCCTCCATCGCCTTATTGGAAAATCTCAAGTCTTTAATTGGCAGGAATGTAACTGATGCTTTAAGCTTCTTAGTAGCATCATCAATGGATATATTAGCTTTCTCAGAATCCAAACCTGAACTAGGACAAGAGAAATAATAAGGGGTTTGAACGCGGAAGACAACAAAGATCAAGAAAAGAAAAGTGATCCACATGATGAACTTGATTGAACAGAATTCGTTCTTCATTTTGGTGCTCCGTTTGACACTTTCACCTTGTTTCATGATCTTCTTAGCTAAAAGGAAGAAGAATGATTATACAAAACGTAATAAAACAACAATTTTTTTTTTTGTTTTTTTTGTTTTCTTTTCCTTGACTGCAAGAATCAATTTTTGTACATCGGGATTGAGACAATGTTATAGACTAGAGCACTTATATTATACATTGGAAAAGAAGTCACACGACAAGTAGTAGTACCATAGTTTTTCGGTTATGGTCAACTGATGTCCAAATTCAATTAAACCCCCATCACACGTCACGAGTATGTACGTCAGAAGTGAATCTCAAAGAATAGTTTAGTTTAAAAGGGTTGACGAACTTGCAGCCATGGCTTCCGGGTTTAGATTCTCGAGGTCCTTCTTCAACGCTTTCTTAATTTCAGCCCGTGGGAGGGTTAAGTGGGGCTGATTCAAACTAAATCGTGCAGGGGCAGAGCAGTACAGCTGCATTCATATCGATCTTATACATGTGTTCCGTCATAGAAAAATGTTTCATGTTGTAAGTTACGAATTATACTGTTTTTAGTACTCATAAAAATAGTTCAAGTTGCAATTTTTTATTGTACTAAAAATAATACAATTTACAAACTACGAATATAGAATGTAGACCTCCTTTTTTTTTTTTTTTGGTTGAATTAGGAGTATAATTTATTTACAAATTGTAATGTGAACTAGTGGGACAAATGGGTAATTTTTCAAGGGAGTTAAGAAGAGGATTGGAGGCAAGGTGTAAAGGTTCCTGATGAAAGACATGCCAAGGAAAACTAGACCAGCATATGTAAACATAATGTGTATCTAGAAGTCAAGTCAACAATGGAATCCTTTGGCGTGAGCGAGAAGATATTTTAATACATCCGATCTCGTCTGCCATTAGGATGGTGCAGGCTGAGATGTGAATTAGAGTAAACAAATATTCCCTCCATCTCTGAATAAGAGTATTGTTTACTGTACCGTAATCTCGATTGAAGCTGCTTGCATTAAGTTACTCAGCAGAATCCTCAGAATTTCGTGATGTTGTTCAGCAAAATACATGCACAATCACAACAGTTGAACACTTTAACTTCAAGATCACATTATAAGTCACTTAAGTGAGGCTACAAACTTCTAGTAAGGCATTGGTTTTCCTTCATTCATCATAATAAGTAAAAATTTGTGTGAAGGACTAGGTTATACCGTTATAGTGTTGTCGGGTTGGTGTATCAACTCAGCGCATGTGCATGAGAGTGAAAAATGCCTTGCACAGATATATAATAAGAAAGTAAACGTCGCAGCGCAAAGATGTATGCGCATCCACCTTTTTGGAAATTTACATACATGTCAGTGTAATACAATTTTATAAAATTCATTGTTCGAAACCATTCTCCGACTAATGTTGATTAAACTGGTGAGTTCTTCTGAGAAGATAAAACTATCCCAACAAGTAACAACGGTCGTCGAAAATCAATCAGTAATTGATCTTCGGAAACAGAGACTATGAATTCTACGACTGAATTCATCGTACCTAAATTTCTGTAAACATCGCACTTGGAGCAATCTCACAAAAGTAACTTCATTATCACATATCATATGATTGAAAAATTGCAGCTATATCTATTGATTCAATCATTCAACACTGGGTAATTGCTTATGTAATGATCTTGTTTTTGATATCTTAACAACGAGGACAAACATCTGAATTCTTCTTCTTCTTCTTCTCCTTTTCTTGAGGATTCACCTGTTTATTATTCTTTGCTTCTTCTAGCTTTTCCTGCCTCACTTCATTAAGGACCCTTTTCCCCCATTCTGCGAAGTAGGTCGCATTATGACCGACTTTGCCATTTTTGTAGTGATCAAGAAAGCAAAAATATTTGTTCTCAGCATTGCTGCACTTCTCCTCGCCTTCTGGATCCCACCAGGTTCCCCGGTGTTTCATCCCGGATTGATTCGCCAGCCAATGATGACCCCATCGGCTGTTAGGTCCATATTCCCACCATCCCTTTGGAAACATTTCCATCACACTGCTGTTTCGATCCATGAAGAACAGGTTTGTTATCTGAGCTCCATGCGGTGATGCAATAATGTCACTGTTACTAAATACTCGCACCTAATATATCAAAGGAAAAAAAATAGGAACAAAATTGATCAACCAATTTGATCCCAAAGATTTCAAGCTGATGTAAAAAAATGTGATTGTTTATTTACCTGATCGCAGAAGCTTAGATCTTCTGATTGGACTAGGTTGAAGACGCATCCTTCAACCATCGCGCATTCCTTTGCGAAAATCTCTGCCACAGCAGTCGTATTCTTGTAAGATCTTGTTTCTCTTCTGTCCAACAGAGTGAACTTAATGACTGGCTCACCTTTTTCGTTTACATCATCTCTTCTAGACTTGATCGGGTTTAGTCCACAGAATTTCCTGGCCTTGCAGCGCAATGTGTCGAAAACCTTCAACTTGATCTCGTTCGACATTTGTTCTGAATCATGCCTCATCACCACAGCCTTCTCAAAGCAGTAAGTAGGTCCATCTCCCTCTTCGTCTGCTTTGCCATCATCGTCGAATTTCTCCAGGTACTCGACATTTCCATAGTAAACTTTCATCAGCTGGTCCAGCCAATAGCCCATCTCCCACCTGAATTGTCCCTGGTGGAACAGAATCCATCTATTAGGCCTTGAGCAATTATTCAGCATCGACCATCTCACGAAAGGCATACCCGTAGATATCGCATGCCAAGGATTGATGTGATTGTAAAAAGTGTATGATATGAAAGTTAGGCCTTCCAAAAGGGTAGCTGAATCAGGAAGACTGCCTTTCCACGCCAATGCGTACGAGTTCTTCGCGCCATCTCTCGTGCTGTGTCCCTTGATACAGAGAATCCGGTCTTGGGACGCATCAGAAGGCACGTACACGTACATAGGCTCGTCTTTCTCCATCGAATCGGGCAATGAACTCAAGAACCATGTATTCCCCTGCAATGCAGTTTGCTGAAACCTTAGGTCCAAAAGTGGAAGGAATGTTACTGAAGCCTTCAGCTTAGCTTTTGCTTCTTCTTCACTTAGGTTTTTGGAACTGTCTGCTACTTTCCATTGAGGAAGAATGGCGTTAGAAATCAAACCAGGATTGTTCGAGAGATAGTAAGGGGATTGAACGTGGAAGACGACTAGTATCAAGAACACTGTGGTAATCCACATTACAAACTTTACTGAACAGAATTCGTTCTTCATTTTGGTGATCAGTTTGACTCTTTCCTCCTCTTGTTTCATGGTTTCTTGATCAAAGGAAGCGTATGTGATTGAAACTGTACTAGATAAACGATGAATCTATCTGATTACATCGAGATTGAGACAATGTTGTTAATGTAGACTGTACTTTAAAAGATTGGCAGAGAAGTCCAACAAATTAACCAGTGTACATTTAATTTTTACCCCCAATGTCATTAACTACAAAAGATTAGACAGGAATAGTTTAATCTGAAAAGGTTGACCGACTTTGTAGGCAGGAAGCCATGGTTGACGGAAGATGAAGATTAGGCTTCCGGGTTTTGCTCCCCAACACATGCACATCTCAATAGAAGTAGTATTTTATAAAGAACACAGATTCGGACTACTGTAAAATGTACAAGTGGATTAGAGCTCTACTTGTTTTTTCCGGAAAGTCTTGGAAAAAGAAAAGGGTTGACAAAATTGAAAGTGTTGAGAAATGGTGCTGCTACAATCGTTGACTTAGTTGTATAGTCCACCAAGTGAAGTCTATAGTTCTAACTGAAGTTGTAGCAGTGGAAGAGTTAACTGAATATTATCATTTATGCTTATTAGCTATTGAGATTTTCTACTTTTGCCTATCGATCGTTGCAATTTAACCTGAGAATCGCTATGAGATTTGTAATTTATATGTGGATTGAGGAGGGCTGTTAAGAAATTTGCTTCGTAGTGAATATTTGTTTCTTGTGTATTGTTTCACCGCCATGTCTCTTGTGTGTCTCAAAATACTTGTTTATTATTCTCTCCGTCTCGAAATTATTGTCCAATTTGCATTTTCAATTTTAGTACATTTTGTTACAGTTGAGAAGGCTCACTATGCTACCAGATTTCCCTCACTTCTCTGAAAAAGTACATCTTTGAGAACATTTTGGTAGTGAAGGAGAATTGAAACCATTGTTCCATCTCCTAATCATCTGTTAGAGAATGTCTTTGCCGAGCACCATAAAATTAAACGAGTAAAATGACACAACAAATACATGAAAATACCTGAGAACAGAACCAAATACAACAATATAACCAAAAGTGAAACCAATATAAGTAAAATGCAAAATGTTTACAATAGAACTCAACAAATTATTAACTAATGCACTGATCGCCTGAGTGATTATTCTACTATTGTGTGAATTGCTGATGCATGATGAACTGCTCAATTACGTACTTAGTTTATTTCGTACAATTCTGAATTTTGAACTAGTGTTCAACTTGATCCTAAGAAAGATTAGCCATATTGATCAAGCATTTTTACGTAGGCAGGAAGTCAGCTGAATGAGACTTACAGGAGTAAACGTACCTCTCATTTATATAAAAGAAAAAAAAAATCTCATAGATATAGATATAAAACAACCTAATATGTGCAGTCCTTCCACAACACCCATAGTATTAAAAGTATGAGAGTCGGTATACTAAGAATAGATCAACCAAATTAATTAAGATGTGAGAACAAAGGAGGCAACCTGAATGTTGCACAGAACACTACTCATTCAAGTTTCATCTATTTACATCTTATCTACAATACACGTTTATTGCATAATCGTGTAACGATTGTTAGCTTCACAGTACATTAAACGTCAATCTAGTAAAGGCTATTAGAAAACTCAAGGTAGTAAAGTTATAGAAGTAAGATGTTGAACCCCCTTGGACTCTTTAGAAGTCAAACCTAGTTGGTGCTTGGTTTGTCAGGTGTATGTGCATCAGAGTCAAAATGCTTTGCAGAGATTGCTAGCTGTCATGTTAGAGGAGCACTGCTCCCGAATCGGGCTGTTGGAAAGACACAGCCTGCTCCTTTTAGGTTCGGAAATCCTCACGTGCGAAATTGCTACAGCAAGGGCATCAACCAATTCTGACTCCTCTTGCTCTGCTGAATCGTTGGGGAGACTTTCAGAGGGTGAAGATGGACTTGAAACCACCTGGGATGTATAGCTTCTCTTGTTTCCATCTTGTGGTGATCTCAGAGCTGTGGCTGACAGTGGGGTAGATGTTACACTTGAATAATGCCTCTGCTTCGACTTGATAGACACAGTCTTCAATGTCCTCTCATTATAGAACAAGATCCATGGATGACCTGATATGAAAATACAATATCAACGTCATGTAAAATGAAACGCATCTGAAAGATTATGATAGGGGCACTAGTAAGATTTGTCACAATGCAGACGACGGGGGAATACTAGATAGTTTTGAAACTAGCATAGTGGACGAGCAGAAGGATTAAAATTTGATTAAGCTAGTAAAGATGGTTGATACTAGAAGCCATATGGAAAAAAAAAATAAAATGGGGAGAACCTAACAAGAGGACACTTTTACTGAACAGTTACTTACATAGTACTTCATCAGCACTTATCCTGGCTTTGGGATCCCTCGTAAATATGCGCTCTAGAAGGTCCCTTGCAAGTTTAGACACTGCTTCCCAATTTTCTGAATGGAAATCAAGCTTTTGATTCTTAATAGCGTCGAATACAGCTTCCAACGAATCACCTTGAAAAGGGAGAACACCCAGCAAGAGAGCATGTAAGAAAACACCTGCACTCCATATGTCTGCTTTCTCAGTATAATCCCCCAGTATGACTTCAGGTGCAACATAAGCCGGGCTTCCAGCCAAACCAGTTAATCTCTGACCTGTTCAAAGTTCAAAGGCAAGATTACATGTATATCACACAAAGCAATCACGTTTCTGGAATAACAGATGCTTGAAGAAGGCAATTGGACAATCTATAATACAATCTAACAAACAGAACAAGACTGCCACTAGGAATATCATTTAAACATCATAAAACATAACATAAAGGATGGCCACAAGAAGATATGTAAGGATGAGAAAATGGCTAATGCACTAAAACAGCAAAGAAACTTGAGTTTTAACTCCGCCCCTTACCAATTGTCTTCCTGGTAACCTTCGGGACACTTAAATCAGTTTGGTTCCACAAATGCAGGGTCAAAACCCTCTTATTAAATTGACAAGAGCAATTAACAGTTTAGGGGTTTACTCCTTAATTTCAAAATAACTTCTCATTCTTAATACAGCTGCAGCTGGCAGTCAAACACGGTTAAGACAAAACACAAAAAGGGAAAAAATAGGAATAGCCCATGGTGCAAACATTCAAATGCAGTGCAATTTGCTTCAAAGTCAATAAAAAAGTCCGAGCAGTTCCTGAGCACTCAGCAACTGTAGTTCATCTTTCTTGACACGTACTTCAAACGTGTTCCAAGATCCCATGTTTCATTTGTAAGTTAACTGAGTGACATCCCTTGCTTTTACATACAATCCCTACCTGTGTTTTTTTATCTCTGTGTGCCCCTCAAAACCCTACAACACAACTGTCCACAAAAGAAAGACCATTTTCCCTTTTCTTCCCATTATATTTTATTCAAAGCTCACATAAAATAGCCAGGGGTCCAAGAGCACTGGCTCATCTTACATCAAATACTCGCAACTGTATGATCTACAGCCATAAAGTTTATTTTCCTCGATAACTCAAGACAAAATCAGACAAGTATCTAACATAGATATGGAAAACATGAGCGACTCAAGTGTGCAGTCATTGACTGGATTTTAATGACGAGTCACTAAATATCCAATCCCTCACCACATAACAGCACGGCGAAGAATGCAAAAACACGTATCTCTCGCCGAAGCTAGACTAAAAAAAATTTGAATGAAGTTTGACAGTGATCAGAAAACCTCCACCAAAATAAGAACACCAAAACAAACAAAACAAGAAGCACCAAAATAAATAATCTCAAGAAGCACAAAACAGACCCTTAGAAAAAACAAGAACTTCATAATGAAGCAAAAGATCCTAATTGTTCAGAGGACGAAGAACTTTTCATGAATCTTTTAAAGAGAAGAGTCACTCACCATCCGCAATCCTCATTGCCAAGCCAAAATCTGCAAGCTTTATTTTCCCAGAAGCAGTTAAAAGAATATTCTCAGGCTTAATGTCCCTATGCACCACACCCATTTCATGGCAATACTTAATTACCAGCATCAAGTCCTTAAATATATTAGCAGCCTGATGTTCAGAGTACCGTCCGATCTTGGCCATCTGATCAATCAATCTTCCACCCGAACACAATTCCATAACCAAATGGAAGTTTTCATCCTCCTCATAAACAGCTTCCAACGTTACCACACCGAAGTGGCCTGACAAATGCTGCATTATTTCCACCTCCCTGTGAACAGTCTCCTCACCTTTCTTTAAAGTTTTACAGGCAAACTCAGCCCCGGTAACCTTACTCCTGCAGAGTGAAACTGATCCGAATTTTCCTCTCCCAATGGCCTCACCTAAAACATAATCATCTTCAATCTTCTTCCTTCTACCCATTTGAGTTTTGGCCTCTATACACCCAATCTTCCTTTTAATTCCCCGACCCGATGATACCAAAGATGAGGATCCTAATGGCGGTGCTGTGGCAGCAATACCAGCGAGCCTGGTACTTTTGCAAGACTTAACAACATCACTACCCACCAAACCATCATGAACACCATCTTCCTTGCACTTTTTCTTCAATCTTGAGTAATCTTCTAGCGAATAATGCAACTTTAGATTCGACAGAGACGATTCCAGATCACGGACAGCTTCAAACATTTCATTTTTCTTGGAACCTAAAATTTCACTACCCTTTCTCTTCTTCCTCATTACCCAAATAAAATTTACATCAAAGAATGTACATCCCAATCCAGAAAAGCAAAACCCAACTCGATCAACCTAGGGATTCTTATCTACTTTGCCTCTGCAGATTAAATTAAAAAAAGCAAAACATCGTTAATCAATGATCACTGACCATTTCACACATTAACCAGCGAAACAAAAACCCATAATGCAACTAATGCCCTTTCCAATTGAACCAAAACCGAAAACACAAAAAATATTAGAAAAAAGTTGCAAACTTTACTGTAACAACGAAAAAGTACTAACCTTTGTGATTTACAGAGAAAACCCAGATGGGAAGGAAATATGCCACCAGAAACACGAACTTTTCAAGAATCGGATTGATATTACATTACATCATACAGAAAAGAGAGATGGGATTGCAGCAAAAACCCTAAAAATACAGCAACGGAAGGATTGGATTGGTATGTAGAGGGAGTAAAAAAAAGTGCGGTGTGTTTTGGCTTTCTGCAGAGAAATAGAGAAAAAAAAGAGGCGACGTGTCTGTCCCGTTATGTTAAGTTATATTCACTCCTTTGTTTTCCAACAGGGATTCGGATATTAAGGCCCCCAAATCGAATACAGTTTTTTTTATCAAACGGTCCCCATAAAGTTTTTCCCTTGATTTTTCACATCCATAATTAAATGGCAAATTTAACTCTCTTGATACCTTAGAATCACCAGAAGATACATACTTTAAGTATGTAGGATTAAATAAATATCCAAATACTTTAATTTGAATACATCAAGATAGGATATATCTGCGACGAAATAACATAATTTAATATCGGTTTATTACCGACAGCGGTAATAACCAACACAATACACATTCTTACACTAAGTATAACGGTACGATTATCCCTATATGCCTAAAATACTTCGTCTCTTCCTCTCGTCATCTTTGCGGTAAAAATGGAACAAGCAAATTGCATTCTAAAGAAAAACTACTTTACGTGTGATATACAGAATGCAACGCTGATTGTAAGATTTTATTTACATTTTTACGGTTTAAATTTTGATCAATTTTCTATGATAAAATATAATAGGAGTATCAATTGCGAGCCTTTATATTTGCAAAGAAACTAAAAGTCATTTTTAGCGTTTTGAGATATCCACTAGCTAGGAGGGGTACATGATCTTCTGTGACACTTTTTTGTATCACTCACTGTGACACAATCCGATTACTTCTTATAAATAACATAATTTGTGATGATACATATACCATAATCACACATTTTTAATGTAGATAATTTTCATATGTTTATTTTATTTTTTATATCAATGTTTTATTTTTTTATGAAATTTGACTATTTTTTTAGAATTTATTAATTATGAAAATTAAAATAAATAAGCTCTAACCCGAAAAAAATGAACCATTAGTTCTAAAATTATAAGTTTGAAAGAGATTGTGAGTAATATATATATTAACACAAATTATATAATTTATAAGAAGTAATTGGATTGTGTCACAGTGAGTGGCGCAAGAAAGTGTTACAGAAGATTCTGTGCCGTTAGGAGGTCTAATTTGAGGAGCTACTTATGCATAATTTAATTTCATTATGAGTGATTAGTCTGGCTTAATTGTTATGCACCGATAATTTAAGGAGGTTACTAATACAATTCAAAGTTCAAATAGGTGTCTTGCCGTCTAACTGATGACGAAGAGGTAGATTGCAATTGACAAGTTATTTTATATATACAAAGGTATTACATTACACTTAACACCACATTCCTAACAATATTGTATTTGAAATAAAATTGTTTATGGTCCAATAATGCAATGATTTGTAAATTGTAATGTTTGATTCAATTTACAAGTTATAATGTGAACTATTTTGTGGAACAAAAGGAAGTAGTATGGGTGTTTATTTTCAAAGCCACCACCTTTACTAGTTGAAGCCACATTTTTTAAAATTGGATCATTTTACCCCTATAATTTTTTCAAATCAAATAATTGGATTAGAGAGAAATAAAAAAAATTAAAAATTATAAAAAAAAATGACCGACTGGGCGGTCTACCCACCCCGGGTTAACCCGGGATGGATGGATTATTCGATCGGGTCCAGTTCGGTCCGATATGGTGAACCGGACCGATCAGGCCCTTTTTTTAAAAATTTTTAAATTTTTTTTTGGTTTTTTTTTTGGTAATTAAAAAATAGCAATATTTTTTATTTAAAAAAAATCTAAAAATTAAAAAATATCAATAGGATTCATTTCTATTTTTTTAATTTTTAGATTTTTTTGTTGTAATTAGTTAATCTAGTTTTTAGGTCATTAAATTTATTAATAATTTATTATTTGAGTTACATTAAGTATCACCAATCTTTGTAGTACAAAAAATAGTTAATCTATTTATACATATTTGTAACAATCTTTGTAGTACAATTATTATTTTTCATTATAAATGTATAATTATTATTTTAACTAAAATTATCTTTAAAATAATGATTAAAGCAAAATTTATATTTTAATATCAATTCAAATAAATTAACTTAACAAATAATCTTAAATTTGTTTTCAAGTAAAAATTAATTACTTGTTTATTTTCAAGTAAATATAAAATCGAGAGTTTAAGCTCTAAAGTATAAATATTGTTAATAATATTTAAAAGTACGAGGTATTCAACATGTAACAATACTGAGAATAAACTAATATTAAAATAAAAATTAATAATTTGTCCGTTCTCACGTGAATCGGACTGAATGACTTGCCCGGTTAGGTTCGAATGACAAGGGCAAAAGAAAAATTCTTCAAAATTGGTGGTTTCAAATACTAATTTGGGTGACTGGAAAAATCCATCCCCAAAATGAACATCATTAGCCTACTACTTGATTTTGTTCAATTTTCATAATGGTCCAAGTTGGACCAGAAAATGTTATATTATTTAATAAAAATATACTAATATTGTTATTTTCAATTATATTAATATTCATTGGAGATGCTCGTGTAATATCGTCCTGGATTCTAGTAAAAAAAAATTAATTAATTTTAAAAGAGTTTCTACTATAATTTATATATTGAAGGAAATTTTTCTAACCACCCAAATTAGTACTTGAAGCCACCAATTTTAAAGAATTTCTATTTTGTCCATGTCAATTTGTCCAAAGTAGAGAGAGAAAGAGATAAGTGACTCAGAGGTAAACTAAAAAAAACCAAAATCGGACCGAACCGAGCAATATACGCGTTCTGGTTGTCTCAACACTATTAATGTATAGAAATTCTACTGTATATGCAGAGCTATAAAACAAGTTATTTTCTTCCATAAGAGACTTAAAATTTCCTGGATAACTCCATCGTGTTGACTTCCACATCCCAACAACCTCCAATCTCAACACAACAAAACCGAAAACGAAAAATGGTGCTTCGATGAGTTCTCCAAGCTTGTAAACAACAAGAAGAAGAAATTGGGAACACAGATCTCTCTGTGTATGATTCCAGGACCTGCCACTGTAGATCATGCACAAGATTCTTCGACAAGGGTGAAGTACTTTGATGAATCTCAAATCCATCCTGCCGCATTAGTTCAACGTCTTCAATGGGTCTCTGAAAACGTGAATACACTCTTAGCAGTGATTCATAAACGGCTTAAATTGCTAGACCAAGAGGTCTGATGACCCTAAGATACTGCTTTGCTTCATCAATCTTTCCCTCCTTCTCAAAATGTTCCGCAATTGCCACCACCATACTAGCCGATGGTCTCCACTTCACAATTATCTATCACTGAAAAGGCATTCCGCATTGCATCAACAGCTTTATCCATGTCATGGTTTCTTACCCACCCCTCCATGAGTATCTCCCAAGTCTTGTAATTTGGATGACCGCCTTTGCTCAACGAGCGTACATGTAAAGATTCAGCCTTCTTTGTCAGCCCATTCCTCATATATGCACCAAGAAGAATGTTGGATACCCTAATATCATATGTCCTACACTGGGATTCCCACTCCAAAAACAGATGCTCAGCTTCTTTAATATCTCCAAGTTTCACCATACAAGACAAGATACACATGTAGTTGGCACATGTAATTCTGCCTGGAACTTGTTTGCATAATTTCCAAAGCCTAAGAACTTCATCCGCATCATTCAAAGAGGCATACATAGTGAGCAGAAAAAGATAACCAAGGCGGTTACATGTGGATAATTTCTTTTCTGCCTCTCTCAGTGCCCAAAAAACTTTTTCAACTAGTCCATACTTTTGATAAATGTTTGCCAAAGTACACAAGGAGCTCCATCCTACCACCACACTTTCATCACGAAGCATTTCTTTGTATATCATTTCAGACGATCCAACTCCAGACAGCTCTGCAGATGCATTCATCCAGAGGTTGTAGGAGAGGACATTCCGTGATATTTGGTTTTCTTTCATCTGTTGTATGACGGAGAGCACTTTCTTGGGTTGGGATGTTGCAATATAAAGCTTCATCATTGCATTAAATGGGTGAGGGTTCACAAGGAAACCCCACCTGTTCATCTTCAGCATCAAAGCCTCAGCTTTTTCAATGGACCTTTCTTTAACATAAAAATAAAGAAGAGGAAGACATGCAGCTTTCCGTGCTACAGAATTAGGCAAGCCTTCAAAATACTCCTCAGCTTCCCTTAAGCTATGCACTTTGATTGTTAATTCCAACCTCATTGCGTGGTCAGCAGATGATATTTTATATCTATCATTAGCCTCCATCCACGTCAATATCTGCACGAGGATTGAGGGGAGTAATAAACATCAGTCTCCCATTCAAGCATATAAAAACTCAAGAAAAAAAAAAAAAGTCGAAACAATAGACAGAGCGCTATTGCTCCCGTATGCAATCTAGACTAACACTATCAGTAAAAAGAATCAAACTCCTAAGAAAATCCCGTTTCAACTTGAAGATGGCTAGTTCAACAACAGAGCACACATTTCCCAAAGGTACATTTCTAGTTTCAATTCAGGAAACTCCAACTGAAAACAGAGATTTTCATGTGGCATACAACCAAACACAGGTCACAAGGTATTTGAACAAACACCTGAATCATTACAGGAGACACAAAATCCAATATAATCTTAAGAGTGTCTTGCATAACTTATCTCTATATTGTAAAAATTTGAAAATTGCTACTTCAGACAGCGCAATAACAATACATTCATAAAGAAACAGAAACAAAATAGCGCTACCAAACAGAAATTAAGGACAGAATGAGCGCTATTGCTCCCATATGCAATCTAGACTAGCACTATCAGTAAAAACAATCAGACTCCTTATAACCACATGGAGAGCTCGTTTCAACTTGAAGATGGCTAGTTTCAACAACAGAGGACACATTTCCAAAGGTGTGTTTCAAGTTTCAATTCAGGAAACTCCAACTGAAAACAGAGATTTCATGTGGCATACAACCAAAAACAGGTCTTAAGGTATTTGAACAAACACCTGAATCATCATTACAGGAGACACAAATCCAACATAATCTTAAGAGCGTCTTGCATAACTTATCTCTATGTAGTAAAAATTTGAACTTTGCTACTTCAGACAGAACAACAACAATACATTAATAAAGAAACAGAAACAAAATAGCGGTAGCAAACAGAAATTAAGGAATCAAATTATAGCAGGACCTCTAGAGCATGCTTAAATCGTCGTCGGTTGAGCAACATCTTGGAAATGCTCCGGAGCTCTGAAATTGAGACCCATCCGCCGCCTCCGTCAACCCATTTCTGGAGCACAGCCTGCGCACTCCGCCGTGGGTTTACAACCTTCAGAATCCGAGCTTTGAGTTGACCACCATCATTCCCGCCATTACCAATCTCATGGGCCTTCCCAAGTTTCAACGTTTTACCATTTGAAATTGTTACTGATGAGAAATACCTGAAGAATCCCATAACCCCGGATTTTTTCATCCTGACAGTAGACATTGATAGTTTTCCGATTGAAGGTCAGTTTTATAAATTCAAGGAATTCAAAGATTCCAGAGTAGCAGTAAGTACCAACGCCTTCTATGTTGTTAAACAAAAAGGCGTGGTGATATGTGTAAGTTCTTGATTGAAGGCGTGCTCTCATAGCGGCCTCTTAAAATTGCATCACGGTGCTTATAGTTTGCCAAAGTTTCAAAATTGTCTTTTATATATATATATTTAGATTTAGATGATAAATCTCTTCCTTATTATTGTTGGAGCTAATAAAACTTTACTCGGATTAAACATGATAAGAGTTAGTATATCTCTCCAATTTGAGTTTAAACACATTCACAAATCTTTTCATTTTACTCACAAAGTTTTCAGCATTAGAATCATAACACGTTAAAATGCCGAGAGCTATTAAACACGCACATAAACGATATCTCTTTTTGTGCGATTCTCTAAATTTGATAACAGATCGGGTACTCCTTTTTAGTTTTCATTATTCTAAAAGTTCATTCACCAAAATTTGTGCACTTTGCAATATCAAATACTAAAATTAAATTACACTAGACAAAGCAAAGATGGGCTTAGCTCTATCATATTAAACTAATTTATTTAAATGAACTCAACAAAGACGCAAATAGAAGAGATGAGAAGTGAAGCGACTGTTCTTATATCACAAGGGAAGGAAAAAATAAGTCCATACTGTTTTATTTGAGATTGAACTATTTTTATGGGGAGTAGAAACTAAGGAGTACTAAAACTTGAACTGCTATGGCTTAAGGACACAGAAAGACCATCACTTGATCTTCTTCTTCAATTCCTCGTAATTAAACAAGCCCACTAGCGCCTCATCCCATCAAGAAAATCATTCGCCCACTCTTTTTCTTCAGTAAGTTCGAGCTATTACATTTTTCAGGTAGAGTGCGAGTGTCTGATTAAGTTTTTCTTTTCATTTTCAAAAAAATTTCTAATCACGTCAACTATTACACGATAAAACTTTTTTTTTAATTTTTTTTTTGGAATATTGTAAAGAGTATTAACAATAAAGAGTTTCCATTATGTTGCAGTACTACAAATTTTTGTGTAATTACTAACAGTTTTGTGGGGCAACATTTGGAGTCATCATCAACTCAGCTGATTGAGAAGGGTTCTTCACATCAGTTGACCTTTCCTCCAATCCTGTTGTTGTTATGCTTAAATTCAATTCACCATAAAAGTAAGAAACAAATCCCAAAGGGATAGAAATAGTGCCACGCCCTTCTGCGCTTGGAATTTCTCCCTGAAGATAATCACGTGCTGCAAGAAAAATAGAAGCATTATTCTTTACTAATCTTCCATTTCATCTTTTCAGTAAATATTATTTGCTTCAATCTCGATTAATTCTTTTTTTTTTATCCCTAAGTGGTGAGTAATTAATGCTTTGATTCATTTCACAGCAACATTTAAACTTACTAATTATGCTGAATGTTAGTATATACTTTGCTTCATTTTTCTAGCAACTCGGCCTAGGAGTATTGATGTGAATAATCATTTCCCTCAACCTCAACATCTTTCTATGTAAACTCGTCCATACGCATTGGATTGTGTGTGTATATCTTAACTAAATCACCTTAGAAATTTGCATTTTATAATCTGTAATACATAAAAAATTCTCGATAAAATGGCTGGTTCATCAAACGGCTTTCCGGGAGACTTAAACAGTTGTTCTAGTTGGTAGCACGGGAAGTAGAAAAAGTGCAACAGGCAATTCGATCCTTGAACGAAAAGCTTTTCCGTCAACCTCTAGCTTCGGTCGCGTCACAACTGCTTGTATGCGACAATCCACCGTTTTAGAGGATGGCAGAGTTCTCAACGTGGTTGATACGCCAGGTAACAAAACGGTTTTTTATCGACCGCAATCTTATATACTCCCTCCGTTCAGAAATGATTGTCTAGTTTCGATTTTTTATTTTCAGTGATGAGAATTTACAAACTTACATTCCCATCATTGAAGAAAATAGCACACCTTCGAGTTCAAAGCCTTTTACAAGATCACAAGCTAGGAAGCTCAAGGCAAATGTGGCAACACTCCTCAACCTCACAATGCACCATGAAGAAGCAAAGATGGAGGCAACACCTCAATGGGTCAATTTCCTCCATTTCTGCCCAAGAAGAAGTTAACCAATTTTGAGCAGATTTAGGCCAATTCATATCACTCCTTTTTGGCCATCTTTTTCAACCATCTTTAAGGTATTTTGGAGCCTTACAATCTGGTCTAAATTCATTAAAATTTCGGCCAAACCCTCAACAATAAAAGGTGGCCAGATTTGAAGGGTAAAAGCAAGTCATGGTGTAATCCAAGTGGAGTCACTTTTGTTGACAACTCATGGTCCAACTTTGCAGCCATCTTTGACCATGTTTTGAAGACTTAAAGGTGAAGAAATCCTAGGTAAATGATAGCTGCACCAGCTGCCCTAGTCAACTACAAAACAAGGAACCATCTTAGCATTACTTTTTATATTTTATTAATCAAGTTGTCTAGTTCTTTTGTCCTTTAAACTCGAAAAAGAAACAACCATTTTGGGTAGTTTTTGAAGTCATTGTTCATGTATGAACCCTTGAGAGGAAGACCCTTTCAGAATTCCAAGCTTCTTCAAGTTTGGTAGCATAGCACGGCTTGTAGCTTGTTATGTAGTAAGTATGCAATTTAGTTTATGATTTAACTAGATTGTGGAGTTTTTTGTGAATTGTTGAAATGGTTAAATTTTTCATGCCTTAGTTTGTTCAAATCTGATTCTCATCTAGTGTTTGAAAGGGTTAAGGTACCATTTAGGCATTCATATCATAAATTATTCTACCCCATTTCTATCCTTTCCACCCGAATCCATCTTTGTGTTCCTTTGAATACACTTTGAATTCTCTTCATATCCAAGACCTTTTGATTTTGGATCATATCAAACTGATCTTGTTGTGTAAATTTGTATGGTAAAGTCCGGGACAACCTCTAAATAAATTTGCTTCCGATTGTGCGCATGAAATCTGCATCATTTGGTAGAAATCTACATCATTTAGTTTAAATTATACTAAAAGTGAAATCTCAAACTGAACAATACTTTCGTTACAGAGAGAGTAATGAATAGTTGTCGGGACGATTTTCAGACAAAGTTAATTAATGAAATTACTTATTTATTTCAAAACATATATTAAGGCTTATTCAGTTGTCGATCGGATGTTACCAATGCATGCAGGATTTTTGGATTCTACTAAGTAAACCCGATGATGTTAAGAAAGAGATCATTAGATGCTTTGAAATGGCTAAAGATGGATACTGGCGAGTCATAAATTAACCCTAGGTCTATTGGGTCTAGGATTAGGTTACTTGGAGATTAAGTCACCGCTTAAACCTAATATGACTAGGTTTCAGGAAACAGGTAACACCACCTCTATATAGAGAGGTTGTGCCTCTCCTATAATACATATCTTCTACACCTTCTACACACGATACACATCCTTCTCTCTCTATTATCTCTATTCTTTTACTGACTTAAGCATCGGAGCGTCTACCCTCAGGAGACACCCGAGGCTCTGTCTTGCAGGTTTTAGGCCGTTCACCACCGCCTAGATCATCATCGCCGCCTGTCCTAAGCACCGTACAAATCCAAGTTTCGTCAGCTTCGTCAAGTGGCACGCCCAGTGGGACCGATTTGTTTGGTCCTTACAACCAAATAAATTTCTTGAAGCGAAGTTGGAATTTTTTGGTGCTTTACGTTGCACAACATCAACATCATAATGGCGCAAGAAAAAAAACAAACTCCTGCTACTGCCGCTGAAAAAGACAAACAGGCAACTCCGTCAGGGCCATCCTCTAACAGCCCGTCTGGTGGTTTGTTTGATCAAAACCTTATGGAGGCCCTTTTCAAATTTCAACCCACCTTGTTCAACAAGTTCCAAGATTTTGTGAAGAGTTTTCACGAACTCGACAGCAACCAATGACAGGTCTTGGTCGACAATTTGGGTACTTTCTCAAAAGAGGGTGAGCCAAACCCTAGGGACACCTCTCGAGGACATCACCTTGTAACTCGACAAGAAACTCGTCCCCCTCGAGTCAATTTACCACCGCCTCGAGTACATTCAACCATCGAGGAACAATTACGGAAGGTTCTGGGATCTGAAGGAGGTGAGGAGGAAGATGATAGTCTGTTCATCCAACGTATCCAAGAAACACCCATGCCCGAGAAGTTTGAACTTCCGGATTTGAAGGCTTATGGAGGAGATACCGATCCTATGGTATTCTTGCAGATTTATAAGAATGCAATGAGATTGAGGAATGCTCCTAACGATTTCATGTGCAAGGCGTTCCCTACCTATCTCACGGGACAAGCACAACTTTGGTTTGGAACACTACCTCCGAGGAGTGTCCGGTCGTTTTATGAGTTAGGGACCTTATTCCACACAAGGTTCTTCCAAGGAAAAAAGATTCGTAAGACAATTACAGAGTTGATGTCCCTCAAGCAAGATCGAGAAGAGTCTATTGGAGCGTATTATTGCCGCTTCACTAAGGAACAACTTCAAGTAGAAGGAATATCTGAGGAGACAATCATTGCAACCTTCACCAATGGCCTTTACCTATATGGGGCACCCGCGACTTTGAGACAAAAGTTAACAAAGGAGCCACCACATACCTTGCAACAACTCTTCTCAGTCGTTGAAACTGAAGTTCGAGTAGAAGAGGATCTTCGTCGAGCAAGAGACACTTTGAGTATTTGCGAGAAGCCCATTCTCGAGAACGGAGCTAAAGGCTCGGGGGCAGAGTATGGCCGAGAGCAAAACAAGGGGCATGATCGAGACAAGGGGCACGATCAAGAAAAGCGCAAGTTCAGCAGTACAGAGTACACGCCTTTAACTCGTTCTCGAACAGAGATATTACAAATCCATAAGAATGAGCTGGAGGCCCCACCACTAATGCTTGCTCCCCCTTATAGACGATCACAACATTTATGGTGCGAATTTCATAAGGATCACGGACATAAGACGGAAGACTGCAGCGCTCTAAAGAATCAAATCGAAGGACTTAAGAGAGGCAAATTCCAAGAGTATTTGCAACCTACC